GTTAAGAAAACCATGCAATATTTCATAATGTTAAGAAAAGCTTATGATTTCATAATGTTAAGAAAACCATACAATATTTCATAATGTTTAAAAAACCATACAAAATTTCATAATGTTAAGAAAACCATACAATATTTCACAATGTTAAGAAAACCATGCAATATTTCATAATGTTAAGAAAAGCTTATGATGTTTCATAGTGTTCAGAAAACAAAACAGTATTTCATAATGTTCAGAAAACCAAACAATATTTCAAAATGTTTAGAAAACCCTACAATATTTCATAATGTTCAGAAAACAAAACAATATTTCACAATGTTCAGAAAACTATACAATATTTCATAATGTTAAGAAAATCTTATGATATTTCATAATGTTCAGAAAACCATACAATATACTTGTTGAACCATACAATAAAAAAACGTGATTTTTGTAAATTTGAAACCGCGTGCGGTGTTTTCAGAGCCCTGTTTAGATAAGATTTTGTGTAAATACACACTTCATGTTTTTAAGGAAGTAAGTACGTAAAGTGAACGCAGGATGATTTGACAAAATTTGTCTGGATTTCACCTTCACTTTTAGCCTGGTAATTTCAACGCAGGCCCTCCGAGAGCGAAGTCCAGGAAGAAAAATAAGTCCGCATTCTCATATAAATCAACAATACTGGGATATTAAAAGTTGGTCGTGCCAAACCAATCAAAAATAATTACCCAACCAAATCCTAAAATTTAATGCTACAAGCTTAAGTCAGCATTTTTTCTTCTTCTCCTTTCAAAAATATGGATATTTACATTTTTTTCTCCATATTTTGAAATATGTAAATATTAAAAAGTAAAAGTTCATGTACATGCTGTAAAAGTATGTAGTAAAAAATCATATTTACCATGACATTATTTCATATAAGAAACCAATAGAAACCCAGCGTTGCCTGAAAACCTGCCCTAGGAAGTCAACCCACTCAATTTAGAATTTTAAACCCTAGCATAAAACAATCCCGTGGTTCTACCGAGTTACCCAATCAAAATTTGAGGCAAATCGGTCAAGGTTTTCATGAGTTATGATCGGACACACAAACAAACAGACAGACAAACAGAGGTTACTGCTTTATATACATAGAAGATATTCTTTATACACAGTTTAAATCTTCATTGATTTTTATGCATATTTGATATTATAAAGTAAGAAGTTAGAAATAAACATGATCTTTAACAGATCCAACCTAACATTATTTTTTTAACTTGAATTGGAAACTTTAAATTTCTCAGTCTGATGATGTAAACCTTTGATATTTCAAACATAAATTATTTGATCTAACAAAAATCATAATTTGAAATATCTACGGTCTTTGACATTGGGTTGGAAAGATATTGCGATTAGAAAATCAGATTCTGTGGCAAAGATTTAATTCCTGTCATGTAAGGTTAATTTCTTAAATTACTTGATAAAAAATTTTGCGTTTTGAGCTTTTCCTTATGTCTTAGATTGAACAGGGTGAAATTAAAACAAGCATTAAGATGCTTTGAATCAATAAATCGACATGGAAAATAAACCTAATCAACTCAACGAAATATTTAAGGAAAACTTTATAATATTTCCACTAAGAAAAATTTCCTTATATTTTTCAGTTTTAAATTTTGAATAAAATAGAATTGATTAAATATTTTTGATTTTCTTTTTGTAATTGTGAAATTATATTGTTTACGAAATTGTGGAACGAAAGTGTTGCATCACAGGATCTATGTAGGTCATATTTCTGACAGTAATGTGTAAAGAACTGAAATATCATTATTTTAGATATTTTCTTATTTTTATTCTTTAAAGAAATTGATCCTTTGCCACAAACTCTGATTTTCTAATTGCTATATCTTAACAACCCAATGTCGTTGACTTTAGATATTTCAAACTATGGATTTGGTTAGATTGAATGATCTAAGTTTGAAATATGAAAGGTTTACATGTTCAGGTTGCAAAGATATTGGCATTAGAAAATTTTAGTTTGAGGCAAAGACTCAATTCCTTTATTTAATTTTCGGCGGACTCGGATCCGTCCCTAAAAAATCAACCCGGATTCTGGACTAATCCATGTTTTCTAAAGAAATGGATCAGGAACTCTGAAAGGATACGATTACAAATATAAAATTTTAAGCTGGTTGGTTTTAATTTTTTGGTGAATTATTTTCCATCAAATAATTTATAAAAAAAAATCTTTTTACACTTGCTGTTACATAAAAGTGTTTTTGTAAAATTAAAACAGACTTTTTTTTTAATTGAAAGAATTTTTTGTGTGTTTGTTTTTGACCAGCTAGAGGGGCCTTGTAAGGAGATGGTTCAAGGCCATGTAAAGCTAGCCTGGATACCCAGTACAGTGGCCGGAACTATATAATCAAATAATTTTGAACATGTCGCTGAAACCCTGTGCACTTGAATCCAATTTCCGGGGTTAGCCATTGCTTACTTTATTTGTCTTTTAAATTTAACCTTAAAAATGTTTGATTTGTCTTTCAATGGGATTGTGGTTAATTTTATATCGGAATGGTCAATTTTAGCAAATAAAATAAATGATGATTTAAAGCTTTATACAATAAAAAGAATTATTTTGTAAAAATAAATATTTTTATTGGTTATTATGAATTGAATACCTATTCAAAATGTAATGGTATTGGCCGAAGTCAAATATCGTATAAACTAAATACACCTGGTATTCAAAGAGAAATTTAGAAACGTCCTTCCTAGAAAACATTGCATGCTATATAATAATAAAAAATAAATCAATATTAATATATAAAATACATATATACATATGTATACTTTGTTTGTCTGTTTGTTTGGTTTGTCTGTTTGTTTGTATCCAATAAACGTCAAAACGGCTAAACCAATCGGGCCCAAATTTTGTGTGGGACATGTCCCCATGGATGATAAAATTTTCAAAAAGTTTCCTGCAACAAAATTCAATTTCCATTAAATTAAAAATATCAAAATTTTTTTTTTTTGTAAAATCCGCGAAATATTTTTGTTTTTGTTTCACATCGTACACAAACAGAAAATGTTCACAATGGAAATAGAAGATGAGCGCGAAGAATGAGATTTCAGAATAATTTCTCTATAGCACTTAAGGGAAAGAAAACCTAGTGCAAAACAGAAACGAATATCTATCTTAAAAACATGTCTTTTGCTTCTCTGAATCGCGATTTTTGGTTCCGAAATAAATCTAGCACCCCCCTCACTTAAATCCTGTATCCGCCCCTGGAATGGGTAAAATTAGTTAAATAAAATTCATATATCTAGATTTCTTTACAATCATTTTATTATTATAAATTATTATAACAAAATTTGACACCTTTGTTTACGATCAAATGTTACTGGCTAACTTTCGACACCTTTCTCGTTTTCACTTTCATTTGATTTTTACTTGACAATAAGTACGTTTTCACTCAGTTATATTAGAGGTTGCGTGAATTATGGAGAACTCATGAAACCGATCTGTTTTATTTCCGTATCCAACTGTACAGGTATTCCATTCTAATTCTGCATTTAAAGGGATTGTACATGTAATTTATTATTTCAAGTGACCTTCCATGCAAATAAGGGAATGTCCGATGACTCTACTCTACTATACTATAACCTCGTGTCCTTTGACTGATCAACGAGGGCAGAGAACTCCGTGTGTTTATCTTTTAAATGGTGTTCAAAATGCCGTAAAGCTGACGCAGCTGACACTATACATTTTCATCGAAAATTCGAAAATGTCCAACGCGGTTTTCAAAAATATAAATATTTAGTTTCTATAAAAGTATAAATATTTCAATATATTAAATAGCTTGAAAACAAGGTATTCAACAATTAAAAGATTTTATTAATAAGGATAATTTTGTGTCCGAATTTAGTGAATTAAAGCCGCGTCCCAAATCAGTAAAAAACGTTTCAATTTAGCGCCGGCTTAAATCTTGAAAAACTGAATTCAATTTAAGTAAAACAAGTCATATTTGGCCTCTGTTATCCTAGATCAGTCGAAGGTTTAAAGGGTACTGGTGTGAATCGGACACACCAATCTACATATGAAGGGTCACTAGACATTACACCCACAGTCCCTTTTATTGACTAAAAAATTTTTGTCACACAAACAGAAAGACTTAAGTTAATCTTTAGATTAAGGTATTTAACAAACTGAAGGTTGTCAGTGAAATACCGTTTTTAACAAAAATAAAAAATTTGTTTTGATATATTTTGCATTTATATGGTGGGGTTTAAGATTGATTTAACACTAATGGAGGGGTTTAAGATTGATTTAACACTTATGACGGGGCTTAGATTGATTTTAGATTTATGGCTGGGTTGAAGATTGATTTTACATTTATGGCGGGGTTTAAGATTGATTATACGTTTATAGCGGGGTTTATGATCGATTTTACATGGCGGGGTTTAAAATTGATTATATGTTTATGGCGGGGCTTAAGGTTGATTTAACATTATAGCAGGGTTTAGATTAATTATACCTTTATGGCGGGATTTAAGATTGATTTAAAATTTATGGCGGGGTTTTAGATTGATTTAACAGTTATAACATGGTTTAGATTAATCATACGTTTTTGACGGGGTTTAAGATTAATTTTAAATGGGAATTAAGTGACAACTTTTATATGGTATTCTATCCATGTAGCATTTTTTCGTGAAAACGATTAAAAAACAGCTTAAACATGTTATTTCGAAAACGCCTGATCTTGAGATTTTCAAAATGTGGTCTGCCATTTTTGTATCTTTAAAATTGATGGAGATATTTTGAAATGTTCACAAATTTCATTATTTAATAAATCATAAATTTACATAATCATTATTATAATTTACGTACAACCATGTTTATATACTTTCTTTGCCATTCCTTAAATATCAGAAATCAACGACTTTCATGTCATCTCTCAATTCCCATGTTTATTGGGACACCCTGTATGTGTCGGGGTTTAAGATTGAATATCAGATTTTAGGACTAGTTTACTAGACTCCTTATAACGTACCGGGCTACTAGGAATCAAGAAAGCAGAATATTCACAGATCAGCTGATTTGCATATTCAATTCTCCAAACTGTACACTTATGTTATATTATTGTGTACATACCAAGATAGTAGATGGATACAGTTCTTAAATTATAGTGATTTTAGCTATATTTATAATGGCGTTAGCTGAGGTTGCAGTTACTTTAGCTCAAAATCCGTATTTCAGGTTAAATTAATTAGTTAGGACATATTTTTTTCTGCATTTAATTGTTTTTAACATTTTTGCCGGACTGCCAAGTTTTTATTAGTATAAAATATTCTAAGTCTAATGTCTAATGTCTAATGACTAATGTCTAACGTCTAGTCTGTATTGGCTGATGTCGAGTATATAATGTCTAATGTCAGTCATTAACGTCAAAATATATTATCTATTACCTAATGTCAATTATATAATGTATGATATCTTATATCTAAAATCTAACATCTAATATTTTATGTATAATGTCTTGTATCTTATAATACCTAATATCTCATATGTCTACAATTTACTGTATAACATCTAATATACAAATCAATAGCATGATGTCTATTGTCTAATATCTACTATAGAGGGTGACTCGAATTAACCATGACAGTAGCAAGACGGTTTGAAGATCGCCTTTGATCTTAAAAGAAATTACGACATTTACATTTACGTTTAGAAGTATAATTTTAGAGTTAATAATTCCTGGACCTGGCGTTTCCGAAATGTGGTCTGTCTTTTTGTGCTGTAAATATTACCAGAGATATGTAGAATTTTTTTCCGATTTCGACAATTTTGGTTTTATTTAATAAGATGAAACCTGTACGGAATTCTTAATGTCTCTGGTAATATTAATAGCACAAAAAAGGCAGACCACATTTAGGAAATGTACAGATTGTGAAAGTTTTGTGATTATTGTTCCAAGAATCACAAATGAAAAAGTATATTAATAATAAGTAGATAAATAACATCAAAGATAAAAGACGACATTCAAATCGTCTTTGTTCTTTCAAGTTTCGTAGGACACCCTGTATCTGATGTATAATATCCAATGTCTCATATTGTAAAATGTCTAGTGTCTAATGTACAATGTCTCATATTGTATAATGTTTAGTGTCTAATATCTATCATCTAATGTCCAATGTCAAATATTTGTAAAATGTCTAGTGTCTAATGTCAAATGTCTAATTTCTAATGTCTAATATTTGTCTAATGTCTAATGTTTAATGTCTAAAATGTCTAATGTCTAACATCTACTGTCTAATGTCTAATATCTAATGTCTAATGTTTAATGTTTAATGTCTAATGTTTAAAGTTTAATGTCTAATGTCTAATGTCTAATGTCTAATGTCTGATGTTTAATGTTTAGTGTTTAATGTTTAGTGTTTAATGTCTTATGTCTAGTGTTTTATGTTTAATTTCTATTGTCTATTGTCTAATGTCTAATATTTGCATAATATATATTGTCTAATGTCTAATATTTCCAAAATGTCTAAAGTCTAATATTTGCACAATATCTATTGTCTTATGTCTAATATTTGCATAATGGCTAATTTCTAATGTCTAATATTTGCATAATGTCTAATGTCTTATGTCTAATATTTCCATAATATCTATTGTCTAATATTTCCAAAATGGCTAATGTCTAATGTCTCATATTTGCAAAATGTCTAATGTCTAATGTCTAATATTTGCATAAAATCTATTGTCTAATGTTTAATATTTGCATAATGTCTAATGTCTAATATTTGCATAAAATCTATTGTCTAATGTTTAATATTTGCATAATGTCTAATGTCTAATATTTGCATAATATCTATTGTCTAATGTTTAATATTTGCAAAATGGCTAATGTCTTATGTCTAATATTTGCATAAAATCTATTGTCTAATGTATAATATTTGCAAAATGGCTAATGTCTAATGTATAATATTTGCAAAATGGCTAATGTCTAATGTATAATATTTGCAAAATGGCTAATGTCTAATGTATAATATTTGCATAATGGCTAATGTCTTATGTCTAATATTTGCAAAATGGCTAATGTCTAATGTATAATATTTGCATAATGGCTAATGTCTTATGTCTATAATATTTGAAAAATGGCTAATGTCTAATGTATAATATTTGCAAAATGGCTAATGTCTAATGTTTTATGTCTATAGTGCTGGTATTGGATTGTTTGGAGTAGGTACAGCAGCTGCTCTTGGGAGAGGATTATTACAATTATCCTTAGCTTTAGGAATAATCATTATTTTAACATTTTAGTTAATATCATTTCCAGTTATATTTCAACTTGATTTTGTGTGGGATCTGTAATGCCCCCTGGCAGGGGTTTGCCATACAGTCCAAATACTCAAAAGTGTCACCTCAAAAAGAAATGATAAAAAACGTCATTGTTTGCAAACATTTTGTAAAATATTGTTTACTAAGGAAGACGACATCTAGTGTGCAGTGTACAAGTTCCCTGCAACGACAAGGTCTAAATAGAAAACATTTCCGCTTTCACATTTTCTCTTGATTGTAAGTTGTACTAAGTTCAACTTTCTGTATATTAAAGGGACTGTAAGCGTAATATCAAGGGACCGGCTATGCAAACATGTCAATGCCTGATTGACAACCGTACCTTTAAAGCTTTGTCTGATCAATTATTAATTAGAATCAATGTTCATACTTTTAAAATTGATTATTATTTGCAAAAGTGGTTTATGTATATTATCTTGTGATTCAACTTTTTTAATCGAAAGACCTGCGAAATCTGTTAACAAAATATTGGGTTTCTAATCTTTTTATCTTTGCAACCTGACGGCGTAAACCCTTGATAAATTAAAAACTTGGACTATTTGATCTTGCAGAGTTTGTATCTATAAAATATAAAAGGTCTATGACATCAGGTTGCAAAGATATGGGATTAGAAAATGTTTAGTTTTAGCCTTGAGACAAGTGCGTTCCCTGTTCACAATGTTATTACAAAATCACAGTGATCTCTTCAGAAAGAGATAACTCATTTGTGTAATGTTCAATTTGACAGTCTATCTCTCTGTATGCATACTGTACAGGGTGTCCCTATAAATACGGGAATTAAATGACGACTTCTGATATAGAAGTCGTCTTTGTTCCATGCGGGATTATTTTGTAGAAAAATTCTGCAGTATCGCGGAGTTAACGCCGGAAACTGTTGGGATTTCCAAAATTTGGTCTACAAAATTTTTACCTTCAAAATTGACTGAGATATTAGGAAAGGAATTGAGTCTTTGCCACAGACTTAAATTTTCTAATCCCTAACTTGGCAACCTGATGATTTACCCTTTTGATATTTCAAATTCAGATTATTTGATCTAACATAATTTACAGTTTGAAACAAGATTATTATGCAAGGAAAGTTATTTTAGAGGTGTATCCATCTTTTGTACTGCAGTGTACTGTCCCTGGTCGGTAATGTAAACACCAGACGGATGTCGAAGCATGACATGGGATCCATCTTTCACATAAAAAATCAATGAAATATTCTAGTCATAGGAAACTATTATGTGAATTATCAAAATTATCAAAATTTAATGCTTTTAACCTCCTTGGATACTAAAACTAACACTGATGCATCTATTCTTGTTTACAAATCCCGCCCAGAGAGAACTGGTTTCAATATGTGCGCAGAGTATACGCAACTGCAATTAACTTTTCTTGCATTATAACCTTGGTTTTCAATATCTAAGGTCTACGACAATGGATTGCAAAGTTTGTTGCAAAAACTCAATTCCTTTGTCCAGATTCCAGTTTCAACAAAACTGTTTAAATTTTTATTATCTCCGTCATTTTTAAAGAAACAAAGAGGGTAGACAACATTTTGGAAAGATTTCAAATCTTTTTTTATGCACTTAATGTCATTTTTTAACTATCGGAAATTAAAGACGATATTCAAGTCGTCTCTCAATTCCCATGTTTACTGGGACACCCTGAACATCGTACTACTTGCTGTAGCTGTTGTAAAGTTGGTCCGTTAGCTCTATAGTTTACGAATTTAGACAATCTGTATACAGGGTTACCCATAAAGGATGAGACTTCAGAGAGGACTGTACGGAATTTATGGTGTCTGTTCCCTTATGTTCATGATTCCCTGGAGCTGTAAACTTCTTAATTTCTTTGCCAAATCATTAAATAAGTCATTTTAAAGACATCATTCAAGGATAAAGACTTAATTTAAACTTGAGATAGTTATATTTAAACTTGAGATAGTTATATTTAAACTTGAGATAGTTATATTTAAAGAGTTTCAAGTCGTCTTTAACCCTGTATATCCATATTAAATATTTTCTGCAGGCCTACACCTGGTTTCTAGATTGGTTGGGTAAAGAAGCTGGAACCACTGCTCAGCATATATCTGTCAGGTTGAATAATACTGTTGTCGGCAATTATATCAATACAATGAAGACGACTTTTCTATTCAAGTTTTGATTTTAAACAAGCTTTTTCTAACTACAATTTTACAAGTAAACAAAGAGAATCTTTGTATTGATATATACGACGACGACTATATCATGGGCAGGCTCATCCTAAGATCATGTAAAAAGACTAAAAAATGTGCATTCAATAATATTCAATTCTAGAGGGGTCTTTAAAGTAAATTTTGTCATATAAAGTTTCACTTTGGCGTGTATGTATAGACTTTGTCGTCTACATTAAGATATTTATAAATACTAGGCTTTCATGGCGCGTCGCGCCCATCTTCTATTTCAATTGTGAACATTTTCTCCTTGTATACATTGTAAAACAAAAACAAACAAAAAAATCGCGGATTTTATAAAAAATGTTGTGGATTTTCTAAATTTAATGAAATAGAATTATGTTGGAGGCTAATTTTTTTAAATTTGGATCATCCATAAACCTTCCCTTTGGACACGATCGGTTCGGCCGTTTTGACGTTTTTTGGATACAAAAAAACAGACAGACAAACAAGCAAAGTGTATAGATAGATTCAATACTTTGCCTGGAATATAAGATGTTTATATTTATATATTTATATTTGTGATGTGCAGGACTGAATGGGAGGAGGAGGACGGAGGTAGGATAAGATCAACCTACTGTATTGAACCTAGTCCCGGACTTCATATACTCAGATGGAGAGGAGTTTGGATTAGACTAGAACGCGTTCGAGAACAGCAGCAGGTTGATGTTATAGGTAAATCATGCTCAAGCTGCTTTAAACTGTCCGGTAGAACAGCAGCAGGTTGATGTTATAGGTAAATCATGCTCAAGCTGCTTTAAACTGTCCGGTAGAACAGAAGCAGGTTGATGTTATAGATAAATCATGCTCAAGCTGCTTTATACCTTACCAGTCAAAACAGCAGCAGGTTGATGTTATAGGTAAATCATGCTCAAGCTGCTTTAAACTGTCCAGTAGAACAGCAGCAGGTTGATGTTATAGGTAAATCATGCTCAAGCTGCTTTAAATTTTTAATTAGAACAGAAGCTGCAGTTTGTTGTTATAGGTGCATTATGCTTAATTGCTCCTCTTAACTGTTCGTTAAAATAGCAACTGCAGGTTGATGTTATAGGTATTAGGTAAACCATGCTCAAGCTGATTTAAACTATTGTCGAGAAGAGCAGTTCAAACTGTTTTAGGTACTGCACGATAATAAAACTCTGCAATAAACAAAAAGGAATTGAGTCTTAATGAAACAAACCCTAATTTGCCAATACCTTTTTTATGCAGTCTATAAACCTTCCCATAGCCTCATGTGGGCCCAATCGATTCAACCGTATTAAATTAATTGGAAAAACACAAAAGGCAAAAAACCACATGCATATGCACTTTAGTGCATGTACTAAAGGCTTCCAAAGCGCTTCGCGCCCTTTTTCTAACTTTTTAGCTGTTTACTGTTACTGTTCAAGCTGCTGCCATTTTTCTTTAAAAAATCGTATTTAGTGGATTTTCCTGCTTAATTTTGCATATTTTAAAAATATTAAATGTCGGTATTTTTTTCGAGCAAAATATTTCCTCTTCAACTGTTCCCCGTGGTTATGTGAGTTGCCAAAACAAATGTTGACTCGATTTGGTTCAGACGATTTGACATTTGTTGGATACAAACATACAAACATAATGAATCTATACTACGTAGTAGGCAATGAAAACTCCCGTTTATCTAAAGTACCAGACCGACTATTTAGCAACTAGAGCAAGTTCTACAATAATCAGGAATGCCAGGAAAAAAAGGCAGTTGACAAAATGAATGATCTCCTTGTATTGAGATAAATGTGTAGGTGGAGTACCCTGGGAAACTATAGATAAATGTGTAGGTGGAGTACCGTGGGAAACTATAGATAAATGTGTAGGTGGAGTACTCTGGGAAACTCTAGATATATATGTAGGTGGAGTACCCTGGGAAACTATGGATAAATGTGTAGGTGGAGTACCCTGGGAAACTATAACTTTAACTACTCTGGGTAGAAGAAGAAGCTTACTACTGCAGATGCTAGAGGAAGCTAAGGCTGATGTACTTACCCGACATGAAGGAACAACTTCTATGTACCACTGTACAGGTATATGTACTGAACTGAACTTTACAGGTGCTTGCCACAGACTGTCACATTCCTCGCAAAAACCGCATACAAGGTTTATATCTGGATTCTTTGTTAGAAATATTCAATTGTAGCCAGTGATACAGAGTTAAAATACTTTTTAGATTCACAAATTCATAGATTTCTATATAATAATGTAAGGAAATATAATAATTTAGGATCTGACTGGAGAGAGATGGGAGGTAGTCCACAGCTCTCAAGATCCATAGATACTGTTGTACTTCAGGTACATCGTAGCAAAATCTTTTTTCAGATATTTGTTCTTAGCTGGAAACTGAACTTTTCGTTCAAATTGAAGTTACCATTCATCAGGGGCGTACCAGAGCATTCATCAGGGGCGTACCAGAGCATTTGTGCAGCATTTAACGATGATTCCAAATAAAATTAGCAAAAAAATTACTACTTAAAAAACGTTAAAACAATTAAAATTCATTCTTTATCTTCAGTAAACTTTATGCAATCTTAAGCAGAAAAATCCACCAAGATTACGTTCGCTTTTTACATTTTCCAAAATATCTTTAAAGAACCATTTTTTGCGTTCCTTAATGGTTTCAATATTATCAGTTTTAGCCTTCTTCTTTTAATGTTTAAAAACTTGCCTTTCGTCTGCGGAAAGTTGTCCAGCCTTAGGTAAACGGGGGTACAGGTACATAGTACAAATTTAAAGAGAGATTACTTAAAAGCACCACCTAAATTGTGCGCAATTGCAATAAATTACTAGAAAGTTTGCAAGCGGTAGAAACTTATACTTTTCATAGATTTAATTTCTAAGAATTCTCTCGAGTTGATCCCCTAAAAACTGTACAACTGATTTTTCTATTATTCTGTCTTGACCCGGCATTCAACCTGTTAGCAACCAGCTCTCTCCTCCCTGCCTAGTTTGGCCGCAAACCTGTGTTGGCCCCCAAATCAGCTGAAATAAGATGTCTCCCAGTTCCGTGGTGATGTCCCAGTTGACTCCAAGTTCCGTGCCTGTGCCTGTTCCCGAGCCTAAACGATGAGGGAAATTATGAAAATGATGCAAATGTAATGCTTTATCTTGTAATGTAATGTAAACCTGTTTAAATCTTTAAATGGATTAGCATAAAATAAATATTTAGATTTAAAAAAAAAATATTTTTCTATTATTTGTAAAATTATGGAATTAAAACTGAATGTAAATATCTAGGATTCTGAAATTCTAAATACACTGAAGGAATTGAGTTTTTGCCACAAACTCCAATTTTTAAATCAATTTATATTTGTAACCGGCTGCTGTAAACCTTTTATAATTCAAACTTAGAATATTTGATCTGTCAGAATTCTTAGTTTGAAATGTCAAAGGTCTACAAGAACGGGTTGCAGAGATACAAGGATTAAAAAATCAGAATTTGTGGCAAAAACTCAACTCCTTTATGAAAGAAAAGGTGAAAGGCAAATTGAGTCTTTGCCACAAACTAAAATTTTCTAATCCTTGTTTCTTCACAGCCTGCTGGTGCAAAATTTTGATTTAGTTGATCTAACAGAGTTTACAGTTTGAAATATCAATGTATACGACAATGATAAAGGTATTCGAATATCTGAGTTTGTTGTTCATTTTTCTGGATTATAGGATTGTGTGGATACGTTATATTCTTGTACACTGTACAGGAAGGTTTAGTTATAATATAATGTAAATTATATTTATCTACACTGTACATCAGGAAGATGTAATAAAAGATTGTGTAAATTTTATTTATGTACACTGTACACTTACAGTTACAGGAATGTGTAGTTGAAAGATTAAGTACATTATATCTAAGTACACCGTACAGGAAAGCGCAGTTGAATGAACATTTCATTTATGTACACTGTAAAGGAAGATGTAGTTGAAAGAACAGTATAAGTATGTACACTGTACAGCAAGGTGTAGTGGAATAAACATTTTATTTATGTACACTGTAAATGAAGGTGTAGTTAAAATAACAGTATATTTATGTACACTGGAAAGTGTAGCTGAATAAACACATATTTATGTACACTGTACAGGAAGGTGTTGTTGAAAGATTATGTACTGATTGTGAGAGATTTCTGAGCTCTGCAGCTTGGTATAGACAACGAGGAATACCACACAGGTGATGTTTAAGCAATGTTGTGAACCATACCCCTAAAATTACCCTGTTGTAAGGTCGTCTCTGACAAACTGTACCTCCGTTGGACCCTCCGTCCACTTACCAAACCAAACATTTTCAAGGCTTTCGCGTAAATATAAACAAAAACCTCATGGAACTTAAAGTGCATTAAAAGAACCAATTTAAACATAATTTTCAGTGAATCATTTACAAATAAACAGTGAAATTACTTTAGCCAGTTAAATATTTATTTCAGAAGATCTAAATTGCTTTAGACTTCAGTTCAAACAACTTTTCGGCCTAACACAGTTTTCTAGATTGTAAGTTCCGTATACTTAATTCACAACAGTACCTTTTAAACCTTTATTTATCGATTGACAACATTAATAAGATATGATCTACAAAACCTACAAAACCTAGAGCTTCCTAAACCTACAAAACCTAGAGTTTCCTAAACCTACAAAACCTAGAGTTTCCTAAACCTACAAAACCTAGAGTTTCCTAAACCTACAAAACCTAGAGTTTCCTAAACCTACTAAACCTAGAGCTTCCTAAACCTACAAAACCTAGAGTTTCAAATACCTTTTAAGCCTTTGTCCAATTCTCAATGGTACAAGTTTCTAAACCAATTGATAATTTCACACAACTGTTTAATCTTTATTAACAATCATTATTTATACACATGTACGTCAATAACAATTTGTATTTTGTAGGAAACCTTCGTTACTTAAATATACATTTTCAAGAAGTTGTTCTCATCTATGTATGGCCGGTAGAAAAGAGTGTTTCCCTAGCCAATTCGCCTTATTTTCCTCTTTCGAGTATTATCCCTTTTGTTCGGCTCACAAATGTACGTTGTACTTCATTGTATTGTGCTTTGCAATAATATGCTTTATTGTGCTGTTATGTACCATACCGTAATGTAATGTACCGTACTGTACGATAATGTACCTCTTTGTCTGATATTATTTCCCTAAAGTTCATTTTCTTCCCTTATTTTGAATATAAACTTATAAATTTGGCGACATTAATCATTCAAACGGGAAACTGTGTTCATAGTTTATGTTTCCTGAATTTTGGGATTTTCGAAATATGGTTTCTGATATTATTGTTACAATATGATAGGACGTGGGTTTTAAAGACAGGAGCGATAATTACTATAAAAATAAGCGACTCCATATTCCAAGGAAACCACAATTGAAAAAATTCCATTTTCAACTACAAAAAAAATATATTTATTCTTTAAAAAACGGCAACCTTTATCTGCATGCATAGCTGTGAGCCTTGGTCGCGCCAGCTCACCAGACAGAATATTTCAAAATACATTTTATGGTGTAGTGCCAAGATTTGACATATATATTTTTTTCAAATTTAGCATTAAACAAGTTCATTGCAGGAGAGGTATTCTACTACACGGACCTCCTGGATGTGGTAAAACCAGTTTAATTGTAGCACTGGCCGGTCATCTTAAACTGGGCATATCTACGCTTAGTTTAGCAGACTCTCATCTTACAGACAATATTCTCCAGGTTAGTACACTTGACAATATTCTCCAGGTTACTTCACAGGAAATATTCTCTAGGTTAGTATACATGTGACAATATTCTTCAGGTTATTTCACGTGACAATATTCTCTAGGTTAGTATACACATGACAATATTCTCCAGGTTAGTACACTTAACAATATTCTCCAGGTTAGTACACGTGACAATATTCTCTAGGTTAGTACACTTGACAATATTCTCCAGGTTAGTACACGTGACAATATTCTCTAGGTTAGTACACTTGACAAAATTCTCTGGGTTAGTACAATTGACAATATTCTCTAGGTTAGTACACGTGACAATATTCTCTAGGTTAGTACACGGGACAATATTCTCTAGGTTAGTATACACGTAACAATATTCTCCAGGTTACTTCACGGGACAATATTCTCTAGGTTAGTATACACGTGACAATATTCTCTAGGTTACTCACGGGACAATATTCTCTAGGTTAGTATACACGTGACAATATTCTCCAGGTTATTTCACGGGACAATATTCTCTAGGTTAGTATACACGTGACACTATTCTCCAGGTTACTTCACGGGACATTATTATCTAAGTTATTATACACGTGACAATATTCTCCAGGTTACTTCACGGGATAATATTATCTCGGTTAGTATACATGTGACAATATTCTTCAGGTTATTTCACGTGACAATATTCTCTAGGTTAGTATACACATGACAATATTCTCCAGGTTAGTACACTTAACAATATTCTCCAGGTTACTTCACGGGATAATATTCTCTAGGTTAGTATACATGTGACAATATTCTTCAGGTTATTTCACGGGACAATATTCTCTAGGTTAGTATACACGTGACAATATTCTCTAGGTTATTTCACGGGACAATATTCTCTAGGTTATTATACACGTGACAATATTCTCCAGGTTACTTCACGGGACAATATTCTCTAGGTTAGTATACACGTAACAATATTCTCTAGGTTAGTACACTTGACAATATTCTCTAGGTTAGTATACACGTAACAATATTCTCTAGGTTACTTCATGTGACAATATTCTCTAGGTTATTTCACGGGACAATATTCTCTAGGTTATTATACACGTGACAATATTCTCTAGGTTATTTCACGGGACAATATTCTCTAGGTTATTATACACGTAACAATATTCTCCAGGTTACTTCACGTGACAATATTCTCTAGGTTAGTATACACGTGACAATATTCTCCAGGTTATTTCACGGGACAATAATCTCTCGGTTAGTTCACGTGACAATATTCTCCCAATTGCGACAATTTAAACAATAATGCGTCTGAAAATCCTAATTGTTAAAAACGGTAAAGAGTTGTCCATCTTAATGTCGGCATTAAAAGTAAGGAGAAATTAATTTCTTTGTGGGATTTAAGAATATTAGACATTATACAATTTACATTATTTATTTAGGCCAGATTAGCAGATGTGCCGCGTAACACAATCCTGCTTCTAGAAGATATTGATGCCGCGTTTATTTCTAGAGAGAACAGTAATAATGTTAATACAGCACATGGGGGCCTCTCACAGGTTAGTTTCCACTAAGGAATAGTATTTTAAGGAATTAAGAGAGATAGTTGAACCAGTAACACCTGTTCAAATTAAGGATTTTTGATGTTTTATAATTACGACCAAAATTTCAAGAAAGTGAAACCATTTTCAGTAAATTTTGTGTTCCTCCTAATTTAACTCAACACCCAAAATGGCTTCTAAACCATATTAACAAAAATAAAACTTAATAATTCAAATAAAAGTATAAAATCCTAAACTGGAATTTCTAAAATGTGGTCTGCACAATTTCCAAGAGCAAAGACTCCATTAAAATTCAATAAGTATTATTTTAATCTATAATTTCAAATCATAAACATACATTTAAACATTAGATATAACGGAACTGATATTTTACTGCTGTACATTTTTATTATTTTAAATAAAATTTTCAAATATTTAGATCTAGATCTGCATCAATAAGTTGCATTGTACAACTCAAACTGTTAAATAATTCAATTATATTCATAACTGATTCTTTTAAACATTACAATCCATATATTCCGGATTTAATTCGAGTTTAATTATCATGTTCAGTGTGACGAGGGAGGGAAGACACGCCAAATTATTATTTCGTCCGACCACAAATGACGTCAAAATTCCAAATTTATTTCGTCAGACCACACCTTTTTTCGTCTGGTATTCCTTTTAAGTACTTTTAATTATTATATTCGAAATTCGAGCCACGTCATGTTGTTTACAATGAATTAAAATACGGCTTGTGACGGTACAGTTGGCATAAAACAATTCATAAACATTTTTATTTCATAATTCCTCAAGCAAATCAAAACCAATTGCTTTATGTTCCATACTAAAAAATGTTAATTTTTAGTTGTAGATTCCATTCCTAATATAACCTAAAAGTTGAAGTTTAGGGGTAAAATAAGAAAACAACAGAATAGTGCGTGGTGCGGACGAAGAATAGGTGAGGCACACATGCTTTCCGTTCTTTGCCACAAATTGGGCTTAAATATCATTTTATTTTTCAACAAAATGCATTTTATTAAACAAAATCAACCCATATTAAATAACATGACGATGTCTAAATTTGAAAAAGTGTATAAGAAAAGACATTTGAAAGCACAAACGAAAGAAATGATTGTGAGTTGTGATGTCATTTGTAGTGTGGACAAAAAATGGTGTTGTGTGCCTTCCCTCGCTCGATGTGACACCCTGTTTATTACCAGGTTACCCTGACCGGGTTGTTGAACGGCCTTGATGGTGCAGTTAGTAGTGAGGGTAGATTAACCTTCCTAACTACAAACTATCCTAATAGATTAGATCCAGCTCTTTGTAGACCTGGCAGGATAGATCTTAAACAGTTTATAGGTCAGATCAAATCATTTTTCATATTCAAACTTTTCATTATTTAATTCACAAGCTGAAGTGCCAGGCGTTGCCCGTGGAATTTAGAAAAATCGAAATTTGGGAGAAAAAAAAATATTGTTTGGCCAGCTACAGCATATATAGATAAAAATAAGAATAAAAAAACATACAGGGGTTCTTCTACATCGTTGTTGTTCCAAAAGAATTTTTGTTCATCACAATTTTAGTAGCTTATACCATGGTTAAAACAATTCCGAAACCTGATAAGTGAGAACCACAGAAAACTGTGCAATTGGATGACGACATTAAAGCAACAATTATGTGTATTTGATTTTGTTAGAAAGTAAAAAGTTTTACTACAGTTTTATACAGTAATAAATAGAAAACCCTGAAATAGGAAGACGACCTTAAAGCACAACTCAAGTGTATTTTAGTTTTCTGGTTATCACTGATACATGTTACTTTTAATTTATTAAATAAAATTGGTCTGTTCACTCTGCACAATTGCTGTGTCTCATGTTCATAAGATTATTTAAAATCTTGAGTCTAAAAGTCAGCTTCGTATTCCAGTTTTCTGTAGTCTCGGAATTTTTCAAAATATGGTTTTAGGAGTTCCTTTTATAATATTGATAAAGATATCATGAAAACTTTCATGATTTTAATTTTTCATTAGAATTAATCAGCATGAATTAAATATTAATTTTTATAATTTTGAAAACATTGTGGTTTCTCTACTTAAGTTTAAAGTTTCATGGGTACCGTTGTGAATAAGGCATTGCAATCTTTGCATGGAGAATCACTGGGAATCACGCGTTCAGTCCCTTTAAACATTTTTTTAAATAGGATATTGTGGTAAAAGTGAGCTGGAAAGATTATTTAAAAAGTTCTATCCTGAGACTAAAGACGACATTTGCAATAAGTTTTCTCATCTTGTTCTTCAAGAAAATATTAATATTTCTCCGGCTCAGGTATATTGATAAGAATTTTTCTTTGAAAATCGTTCAGCATGTTTAAGTTTGAAAGAGAGATTAAACCATTTACAACATGGGCTGTCACTGATCTTTGCAGGGGGGCTTAATTCTCATTTAAAGGAACCGGTTTAACGGGTTTACAGGTGGGCTTAATTCTCATTTAAAGGTACCGGTTTAACGGGTTTTCTTTGAAAATCGTTTATGACATTTTTTATACCACCAGAGTCCGAATTTAAAGAATTTAAGCCGCGTCTTAATTCCGCCAAAAACCGGTTTCAATTTAGTACCGGCTTAAATCTTGAAAAATTTAATACAATTTTCAATGAAACTTTAATCATTCTGGAGAAGCCTCTCAAATTTAAGCCTCGTCTCGCATTCTTAAAATTCGGCCGACAACAAAGATTTAAGTTATTGTCAATTCGATTTTCTAAATTAATATGTTAAATCTTCTAAATTTCTAATTAAAAATTCGAATTAAAATAAGTTTATTTTTTAAGGTTCAAGCGCATCTATTAATTCACCATGAAAGTCCTGAAGAAGCTATCCGTAATATTCAAGCACTCTTTCATTTGTAATTGTAATTGACTGTATTTCAAATTTTTCAATTTTTCAACGGATAGAAATATATGATGCAGGGTTACTCACAAAAGATGCGACTTCAGAGACGACTATATGGAATTTATACTGCCTTTTTCTGATTCTGCATGTAACAAATTCAGGATCTATATATAGTTTATCTATCTGTCTTATCATGTTTATTACATACCCTGACCGGCCCGACTGGTCAATCTATTTTACCTGTTATAAATAAATTAGTACCATATCAACCGTTGTTTTAACCGGACGTAAGTAGCCGGGTTAGGCTAGGAATACAGTCATGATTGAAGGCAGGATTAGAGTTAGTGACAAGTATTAAGATAATATTCGGGACCTAGATCTTTACATGCAGTTATGAACTAGTTTCTTTCTTTGCCATATCATAAAATAATCCATTAAAATACTATACATTCAAGGCAGAAGATTAATTTAACTAATTAGGATCGTAATATCATGTGAGCTTCAGGTCGTATTTACAGTATCATCCTGTGTGAGTAACCTTCTGAATAGAAGCTTAGAATTAGATAGATAGATGTACAAATAACTTACTCTAAAGCTAGCTACATTTTATTTTTAGAGAAATATTCCCACAACCTCTATTTTTGGAGGTTTTATATTATTTTTTCCTGAAGAACTTAATTATGTATGTTTTGTTATATTTCATAAATAAATAATTACTTACTTATTTACTATAATTTGAATTTGTCTCTGCATTCATAAAAATAGTTTAAAAAATCACGAACTTAATTTAAAGTGGGTTTCTTAAAATGCAAGCAACGATTTCAAAAAACGAAGCCTTCAGCTTGGACAAATAATCCTTTGAACGCCCCTGAAATTATTATATCTCAGAATTTTCAAAATTTGATTTGACCCTTAAAAACACACATTAGATTTCTTGCCTCTTTTTGTACTTTCTTTCTCTTTCCTTCTTTTTTTCATGAATATATACCATTCTTTATTTGTGTCAGAATAATGCCCCCCCCCCCTTCTGAGGAAAGGGGGAATTGGCTGGTGCCTTTCCCCAGTTACGGGATTGCATTTGTTTTGTCTTTTATTGATTGTCATGATTAGAAACAATATGGACTCAAAGTGGTTTACAAGATTTAGACTAAAACTTTTAACATTTCTTACGCAGATAGGAAGATATTTGGAGAAAATTTCTGGAGTAAACTTAGTTATTTGTTGTTGTAATTTTTGATTAAAACAAAACCTTTTTATGAAAAATGTTAAGATTTAAATAAATAATACAAACTTTCTAGATTTAATTTAAACTACAAAAAATGTATCGCTCAAATCAAAGATTATGAAAAATGAAATGAAATTCATTCAATGATTATTCTCTAAATATTTTCCATTTCATGTAAAAAATGTTTAAAGTTTTATTTTCCAATTTATTAGTCATAATTATAGGCACTATTTATACTAATTGATAAATACTTCTTATCTTTAAGAAAACTCTCATATGACACTTTGTTGAAAAATTTGTAAAAAAATCTTTTATTTAAACTTAAAACAAAAGTTTAAAAACAAAAAAACCTCCAGTAACACACTGCAGGCACATTACATTATTGCGCATGGTCAATATGCTGCATAGCAGAGGCTCGAGTCTACCTAGCAAATCTGGGAGGCTCATGTCTGCATAGCGGAGGCCTCTCATGGCGTCCTGGGGTTCCCTCCCTCGTACGACGTACGGATATAAGTGCTTTGTGTAAGAAAAAAAACATTTTTTGGTTATTTTATTGAATGGAAAATTGGAGATTAAGAGAAGACTGTGTGATATGAAATTGCAATGGAATATGAATATACGATACTTTGATGCTGTTTTATAGCTTTAAATTAAATTATTATAAGTGCCTGCATATAATGATGATACCACACAATTGCCGTGTTTTATTTCCGAATAATTGGGATCATGCCCCCCCCCCCTCCGCCCGGTTACGGGGATCTGGTTTTTGTGTGTTGAATTTTTGTCACGTATACGAAAATTGGGTTCAGACAAAAAGGGGCGGGGTAGAGAACCCTGTTTAATGAAATTATATAAACCTTATTGAGAATTTCTTTTATTTCTTTTACGGTTTTACTTCTGACTTTAAATAGACGTTTTTATCTGTCTGCTTACAGTGCTTGTTTTGCTTTCTGCGTACCGGTAGGGAAAGCTAAAGCTGTGTTCTGATTGGACAGACAAGAAAATTCGACCAATAGGAGAATGCGACTTGTCCCAGGCTACAAGAGGGGTTCAACGCCAACAAGGAACTTTAATATTTTCATATTTGTTTCTACCTCCGTTGATATTGAACAGGCCGGATTGTGCCGACGATAACAGTTACACTAGGAGGACGAGTCTTTCCTAGCTGTATAATAGGTAAACAACAAAAAGAAAACTTATTTTCTGCGAGTTAAAGTCTATAATTTCTCTCAGTACTTTGTTCTTAGTATTTTTCACGAATACACAACATTTCTTTATCCAACCTTGATAATCTAGGCGCTGTTTTTTTGACGTTTTTCAGCTTGAATTGATATACAGGGTGTCCCTTATCATATTATCATATTAGATCGTTTATAGCTCTAAATTGAGATGTAAAGGGACTAATCAGAAAATGTAAAATGTTCATTTAGAAATTTTCTTGCAATATATAAAGTACCAGGTTTTCGAGTATAATGCGCATTGTGGGTATTTTGGCGTTTTGCAGATAATCTATAAGACGCTCTGTATATTACGGTAAAGGCCTGTATTGTTATGCATGAATTAAGTTCTAGTTTTGTTTAATTAAATTTTTCTATAAACTCAAATGTTGCGATGAACAGGTGGATATTTCAAGGCTATGAATAGAATATCGCTAAATACACCTGGAGTTGTGTTGGTAGGGTTGATAATCATTTATAAAAACTAATGAAAAAACGAATTTTCGTTTCAATGTTTATCTTTTTCAAAAACTATCTTTCTTCATTGGTTTAAAACGAAACGATCGTTTTTTTTTATAAAATAGTGAAAACGATCCATCCCTATGTGTAGGTAACATCTGCAAATCTCATCAATTGTTAAATTATTTCAATTGTATTTAGAGGTTGGCAAGGATGAGGTTGATGTATGTGGGCCTCCTGGTCCTGTTTGTGGCCTCTGTGAGAACAGAGGATGAGGCTGAAGGCGAGGACGGTGTTGAGTTTGAAGATAACACAATATTTAAGTAAGAATTCCAATATTTGTTAATTATCCTTAAAGGGACTGTAAGCATAGTGAAGTAAACCTCCATACAAAGATGGCAATGCCAGATTTACATCGCTACCCTTTAAACTTTTATCTGATCAATAATGTGGAAGATATTGTCATTTTTTATTTTTTATTTTAAGGATTCAATTCGGATACGTTCACAGAAATGCGCAAGGCACTGTGGTAGAGAAATAAGAAAACTAGTTTTAAAAATTATTAACATACTTCATTTATATTCGATCAGACAAATCTTTTAAGGGTACCCAGGAAACATTTTTACTAACTTTATTTGTCGAATGCCGATGGCAAAGTTGGCGGGTAGATAATTCTGAACTTTTTAAATGTTCGCTATCGGTTTGTCGGAGATTTAATAATTTCAGGTTACCGTTGTGAATATAGAGCATTGCCATTTTTGCATGGAGGGTCACTTTAAATAACGCTTATAGTTCCATTTTATTATTACAATACAACATAACAAACTTGAACAGAATACAGTTTCTAAATCTGGGAAATTTTACTTAATGAATTAATGAAAATAAGTTGGAGTATCTCATTTTAAGATGTGTGGTTGAGTCCTGCTCCGGATGACGATTGAACAAGGTAGTTAAATTGTTAAAAACCAATTTAGTTTGATCCGGATCCGGGATCCTTCCTTTTATAAATGGATCTGAAATCAGAATCCAATTCTTTTATTTAAATTTTTGCTAACTTCTTTCACTGTAAAAAAAGCGAATACAAAAATATCTATTGAATCGCTACCATTTTATGATCAGGAAGGTTTTAATGACATCTCATTGATGGGTAATAAAAATGTCTTGCGTTTCAGTAAATTTTTTGTTCAGTGATTTGGTGTATTTTCTTCCGATGTTTCTTTTAATATATATATGGGCTATGTGTAAAAATGAAGTGATTGCAGAAAAAAACCACGATTTTATTATAATTTATTCTATGCATTCCACCTTATTTTTGCTAATTGAAGTTTCCTCTATTTAGGCAAATCAAAGATTTTTGAAAATATGTTTTTCCCCCACAAATATCACTTTTTGCAAACATTCCTCTTCATAATGAAAATTTTTTTTGAGACTAATCCAACCAATAAGTATTTTGTAGATTAAAGAAATTCCTTGAGGTTTAGGCTCGAGTGTTGCCTATCATAATGTTTAGAAATTAAAATTAATTATCATTGCCTGTCCATAACTCAGCTTTTAAGCAGTGCCTGGAACCGCACTGGAAAAAAATTGGTCCGGATCCAGGTCATTTTTAAGATCTACCGAATTTTTTTAACAAAAAATAATTTTCAAATTTTTTGTTCCAATTTTTTTTACTTATTTTTATCCTAAAGCTTAATAAACCATTCAGAAATGAGGAAATTTTTTTTTCTTCAAAAGTTCTGATTTGGGTTTTAGGTGTAAAAAAGTTTTTTTTTGCAGTTTTTGGTTGATATTTTACCCCTTGGACCCGGATCCGTGGATCGTAATATTTTTGAGGATATGGATCCAGGAAGCCAAAATCTTGCGGATCCGGATCCTAAGCACTGCTTTTAAGAATCTATTTTTGAAGATCGGAAAAAATGGACATGAAAAGGCTACTTTTTTATCTTTCATTTTTACATAAAAACTATTTTCCACAATTCTGTGAAATAAACATTAAAAATCCAAACCAAAATGATGTTCAAAAAAGGGGGAGGAAGGGGAATGATTTTTCAAGAAACACCCCTGCTATAACTTCCTTATTTGTTACAGCTCCCTGAGGTGAAGAACTTCATCTACGGGGATCTGGAGTCTAAGTATGAGAGGACCGTGTTCAAGAAAGTCCCCGGGAAGTCTCCGGAGGCCATTTTCTACAACCAGGCTGGGAAGGAGCTAGAGAGATTAAACATTGAAAAGTTCTCCAGGTGAGGTGTTACTATTGACCAAATAGGGTGTCTCAATAAACCTGGGAATAAGGAGACAGACTTTTAACCCGTCCTCAGTGATATGTGGTGAACAAAAAATCTTAAAATGTTGCAAGATTTTTTCCAATCCTTATCTGGAACACACATTTTAGATAAATTAATCAGTGGCAGCTTTTTTGATGAAGATTTTTTATTTTTAATTTTTTACACCTTTCGAAAATAATTTGACTTCCTCAAATTATAAAAAAAGTAAGATAATCGAATGGAGTCACAGAACTATCTTCGGTTAAATCAGTGCTAAGGATCCGTAAGATTTTGGCTTCTTTGGATCTGGATCCGGATCCATATGCGGATCCAAGAGGGTATCAACAAAAACTGAAAAAAATAAGACAACAAATTATACAAGTAACAAAGTCAGTAAATCTAGAAGAGAGGACCTGGATCCGGATTCGTTTTTTTTTCCAGTCCGCATCCGCATCCGCATCGAAATTAAATGAATCCTAAGCACTGGTTCAAACTCATATGTAGTATATACCGAGTACTGTTCACCAACATTGGATCTTGTATTCGCTTTGTATGGAGACTAATTTTGTGTTCTTGTAGGGAGGAGCTGAACCAGATGATGGTATCTAAGGGACTACCCAAGAAGTCTGGTCATGACGAAGTGTAGAAGAACAACTTCATGAATTGCACCGGTGAGAGGAGGGGAGGGTTGTTCCTGTGCACTATGACGGGTAGAGTTGAACAAGTTTTTAAACTTCTCTTTACCCTGATAATTACGCCAGTACACCCTACCCAGCCTTTGCACTTAACCCGTTTCCAACTATGTACTGTATGTACGCATGTTTAAAGCATTTATATTCAGTCAGAAACAAAATAAATAAAAATTATGTATTTTCATTTTTTATTTATCACATGACATTTGCAGTTGGTCTTTCGTAAGTTTACAAAGTTACTTTCTAGAATATATTTCTTTTTGATAGGATACAAATTATCACTTTATTGTTTGGATTTTAACGATTTTTCTTGATTTGGTACTAATATTACTTTCTTTGTTTTAATACTGTAGATTACTTTCTAAATCTAATTTGCAGTTACTGAGGTTGTTGAATTTCAATTTAAACTGAAGATTTTCTTGGGACTGGTTTAATTCTAGGAGAAACTAATGGATCTGTTCGCTGAGGATGAGATCTCAATTCTGTCTCTCCAAACCCTGAATAACAAAAGTGCAATAAATGCAATAAATTAAGTAAGAATATTGGAAGAAATATCCCAGGGTTATCTAATTTTCATGCACGAATTTGTAAATTTTCAAAATTCATCACAATTTTTTTGTTCAAATTTTAAAGATTCCTCAAACACATTTGAATAAAAAATAATTAAAAAAATATTACCATTCTTTAAAAAGGTAAGTTTTAATGGCATCTTATTGGTTGGGAATAAAAATGTTTGTTGTCTAATACTTGTGATATATTCAAATATGAAGGGTCTAGAAGATACAAGTTTACCTTGAGGAACTGCTGAGCATCCTCTTTATTGATCTGTTTCACTTTGCTCACGTTATTTCTTATCATCACTCCGAAGTACATGTCTGACTCTTCAGCCAGCTCAGATCTAAAAATTGTTTATAAAATTAAACCTTTATCTTACCATGTTCAGAGAGTTCGGAAAACTAAAATCAGAAATTTCACATTTTCTAGTTGATTCAAAATCGATAACATGAAAAGAAAACATAAGCTTCAAGCAAATAATGAAATGGATTTATCTACCATATCTACTATATCCCCCTTTTCTATTTAATTAAATTAAATTACGTTTTTGGCCATTTTTGTTTTTACTTGGTATCCATTTGAATCAACTCTTAACAGGGTTACCCACAAAGAATGAGAATTCAGTCTAAAAGTTGATTCGCATGGTTCCCTGCAGCAGTAAACTTGTCTCTTTCTAGACCAAATCTTTCAAATACCATATTAAGAGTGTATTTAAACTAGAAATCTAACCGTTCAATTGTTGTATCGAGTTTCAGGTTGTCATTGAAGTCTCATCTATTGAGGATAACCCTGTAAGAAGAATATGTATTATGTTTACCTAAAAGTTGTGCAGACAAACTGAGCAGATGAAGCTTGAGCTCGCACAAGCTTTGCTATAGCAGTTCTATGCTCAGCGTCCAGAGCAGCATCCACCTCGTCAAATAGATAGAAGGGAGCAGGATCACATTTCTAGATAATAGAATAGATAGAAGGGAGCAGGATCACATTTCTAGATAATAGAATAGATAGAAGGGAGCAGGATCACATTTCTAAATAGTTCTGGGGGCAGAGTCACATTTTCACCGCAAACAAAATAAAGGCCATGTATTTATGTAAAATATTTCTACCTGGATTGCGAGTATGAAGATGAGACTGATGGTAGCTTTCTGTCCTCCAGAGAGAGAACTTAGGTTCTTTAGATGTCCCTTGGATTTAGTGAAGGATACCTTGATCTCCAAACCTATCTCAGTCAAACATATTTCATCATGTAAATTGCAATTGAAACCTTATTTATGGATGTTGAGTGTTGACTGTTTATTGTTTATATTAAAGAAACCTCAGAAAATTAAATAAGTATTTATTTTTTTTCATTTACATTATGGCAGGGCCAGAGTAATAATAATAATAACCAGCTTAAGGGCCCGGCGTTACCAGTGAAAAAAAATGTTGCATGAGCTCCTCTAATCCCAAGCAATGATATCATTTTTCATCTACTGTTCTAATTTTTTTATGACCTTGTTTAGAAGCGATAAACAATTATGATTTGTTTTTATCTTTATCATTATTTCAATTTAGATCGTATATCGTGTATATAATTGATCATAAAGCTTTGCAGCTTGTTCTACAGTTTCAAAGAAAACCACGAAATAAATCTTTTTCACTAATGTCTCTTTATTTTCTTATTCTTTACTTGACGTTTTCAAACCTTAAACAAAACCAAACATTGTGGTTCTTAGAATTGGCGGATTATAACTTGGATCATTTGTATAAATATGTTTTCCTGTAGCATTTTCTATAGAATGATCCTCTCCATCCGGTACCTTGATCAGGAGCTCTCCATGCCCATTGGGTACAACAATCTTGAACAGTTCCTCAAAATATTTCTGAACCTAAACAAAACAAATATTGAATAATATATTTATAAAATGTGCTGGTGAATTATTCATAATCAAATTATAGCCCGTGACGATTATGATTTTCATTGCCTTAATGTCTTAAGGGAATTGAGCCTTTGACACGAACTCTGATTTTCTAATCCCTATATCTTCGCAACCCGATGGTGTATTTCAAACTTAGATGATTTGAGCTCACAGAAATAATAGTTTGAAATATCTAAGGTCCACAACATTGGGTTGCAAAGATATAATGATTAGAAAATCAGAGTTGTAGCAAAAACTTAAATCCGTTCCTTCGGCACTCAGCAGAGGGTTTCGAAAAAAAGTTTGGAATCTATAATTGTAAGATTTTAATTTTAGGCGCAATTTTGTTGCTGCGATTATGCGAAAAAAAGATTTTCTCTTTTATTTGAAAACATGTTGTTTCATTGTGCATTGCGATGCCAAGTACATAAATCTTTTAAGGGGGTGGGGAGGCATACACAGTGATCTAGAAATTGCAAGCTCTGATTCAAAAACCGATGAGAATTTGACTGGAAACTTCTTGAACACAAAGTTAAAATCTAGTGTTTTCTAGTTATAAAAATATACATGTCTACTGACTATGTCTTCCAAAACAAGGAATTTAGTGATGTTAAATTAAAGACCAAGGCGTTGCGACACTTTAAAGTCGACCCATGGTTTTACAAATTTTTGCAACTTTTCATATAGCTGCCTGGGTATATGTGTACATTAAATGTTTTTTCTTGTGCTCCTCCCTAAGATGAAGCAAGAGAACTGTATGTGGAATATTTAGTATTAATATAGTATAATCTCCTACAGAAGGATCTCATATATTTAGTATTAATATGTATAATCTCCTACAGAAGGATCTGATATATTTAGTATTAATATAGTATAATCTCCTACAGAAGGATCTGATATATTTAGTATTAATATAGTATAATCTTCCTACAGAAGGATCTGATATATTTAGTATTAATATAGTATAATCTCCTACAGAAGGATCTGATATATATGATATGCTGTCCAATTTTTGCCTTATAAAACCAATATGTGTACAGCTAGCTCTAACTGCTTGAGTTTACAGTGATTCTGACCTGGGTAAAGGTGAAGCTTATCTGTTCCACCCTCTTCTCCTTTAACATCTGATGTGTTTGTTTGGTAGCTTCGAACTCCTCCAGGATACTCTCCAGCTGTCCCTCCATCCAGGCCTTGTTCTCCTCTACCATGGTGTAGTCGTAATCACACCTGTGGTTGATGTTCTCCATGCCTTTAAAAAACACGATGAACTATATTCTTTTAATAGTCTAATCTTTTAATCCTCATATCTTTAAAACTAGATGTTGTAGACCTTCGATATTTCGAATTATAAATTCTGTCAGATCATGTCAAAAATAACGTTTTTTTGAGTACAGTTTTATAATACACCGAATTAAGGGGTGCCAAGGAAGGCCTCTTTAAAACTTAAAATTATGTCAATCATTTAAAATTTAAATATAGGGTACGAACCTGGTTCACATTTACCATGTGGATTGTTGATGTATTTTCGTTTTTTTTACCACTTACCATTGAGCTGTTCATTGATAGTTTTTATAGCTGAAAGAAGAGTCTTCTTACTGGATTCCATATACCGTTTCTTAAAATCCTTCACAGCTCCCAGCTCTGTAATAGAAATTGTTTTGTATGAATATTTTGCGATTAAAAAAGGGTAGCCCATGGGTGACATTTGCTAAAGAATGGTGGGAGTAATTTAATGACCATGAATTATAAAATAAATCTGGACAGGCACTCTCCAGTTACTTTGTAGAAAAGTAGTAATCTCTGTTTTTTCTGGATGCCCTAGACCGACTTGCCTCAAATTTTCATTGGAGAACTTGGTAGAATAACAGTGTTCTCAGCTTGGTTTAAAATTCCAAATGAGTTTGGTAGACTTTTATAGAGAAAGTTTAGTTTCCAGGCAAAGCTGGGTTTCCAAGCTAGCACAAGCCACCAAAATGTATCAGCATTGAATAAAAAAACTAACAGTCTTATTCATGATTAATGTTTAATTAGCAGATACAGGGTGGCCAAAACTTTTTTGAACCCATCCGTACAAAAATCCGTACATTTTCAGAAGAAATCCGTACAATCCGTACAATTTTCGAAAAACAATCCGTACAATCCGTACAATTTTTTAAAAAAAAATCCGTACAATCCGTACATTTTTTAAACCAATCCGTACATTTTTTTAAAGATCCGTACATTTAGTACAATTTGAAAACAAATCCGTACAATCCGTACAATTTTAGGGTTAAAAAAAAATCAATCCGTACAATCCGTACATTTTGGCCACCCTGCAGATAGTACTGGTCAAAACCAGAATAAAAGATATATAAAAAATAATGGAGATAACTGAACTGTACATTTCTAAATAAATAACCCAGTACACTTGCTGTTTACCTAAAATTGATTTCTCCAATCCCATTTTTCTCTTCTCAAATCCAAGCTTCTCTTCCTCAAACCTTGACAGCTTGGCAGAAATCTGAAAATTTAGAATTCCGATAAATTCGTATAAAGAAATTCACAAATCCTTATAAATTAAAGCTTTTAGAAAGAAATCTGTGAAATAAAAACATTGGAAAATAAATAAATAAATAAATTACAGTTCTTTGAAAATATTTATATTTATTTATTCTAGGAATTTTCTAGACATGTTGTGTATTTTTTATTTAATTTTTTTAATATAAAACCTATTTTAATGAACATTTTTTACCAGGAAAATATTAGGAGAACGATCATAGATTAATTAAAATAACAGATGGGACAGTTTGTCGTCTTTTCAAGATTTCTGTATGTTACGTTCACAATAACCCTGATGCAGTAGAACAAAGTAGTTACGTCTAGTCTGCGTAGAACAAAGACAGAAAGAGAGAGCCTGTTCTACGCCGACTTCGTGTAACTCCTTTCAGCTGTTGCCTCTGGGATTGTGGCCGTAACACACAGGAATCTCGAAAAGACGACATCTAGTGTCCTATCTGTTATTTTAATTAATCTATGGAAATTATTTACAGAATTTTTCAGATTTATTTGGATTCCTGTAAAAACTTCTTATTCACTAAATTATAATTACCTTCTCCTTCTGTTCATTTAGTCTAACCTTCTGACCTTCCATCTTCTCAACCTCGACATTTCTAACACATGGAGGTAGATTAGTTTCAGACAAGGCTGAGTTTCTAAGCTAGTTTTTTGCCGATTTTTATGCTAAAACTTGATAAACCATATAATCAGAGATCAGGAAAGGAATTGAGTTTTTGCCACAAATTCAATTGTCTAATCCTTATCTTTTCAACCTGATAGTGTGGACCTTTGATATTTCAAACCCAAGTTATTTGATAAAAAAGAATTCATAGTTAGAAATATCTAAAGCCTCTACTCAGTTCCTTTATAAAATATCGCTTTTTTCAACAGTTCAGATTTGGGTTTTGAGAGTAGAAGTTTTTTTCCGAAATTTTTGGATGATATTTTGCCCCTTGGATCCGGATTCAGGAAGACAAAATCTTGCGGATCCAATGAATCCGGATCCTAAGCACTGGCATCACTGAACTCTGAGTTAAAGAAATAAAATTAATAAATCTGAAGTCATCTCTTAAGGCTCGACCTTTGTAAGGTATATGTGCTAAACAGATCGTATTTTTACGTCAACTTGTTTTTTCAAACAACTCGTTTTTCATTAGAGCTATTGATAAAAAAACTAACTTTGAAATCAATTTAAATGCAACCAAACGTAATTGTTTGTTTAAAAGCGCACACTTTTGCGTTAAATCAAGAATGGAGTAGATACAAAAAATTAAATCAAGAATGGAGTAGATACAAAAATGTCGCATAATGTGGGATAAAAAAGGATTTTCTTTGAAAAAAACATGCTGTTGCTGATTCCTTCAACAAAATTATAAAAAACTTACCTTGCTTGAAGATCTGCGATCTGCTTTAACTCTGTCTCCTTCAGGTCTCCGAGTGCGATCTTACAGGCATTCCTCTGCAGTATGGTGATGGATAGAGCAGAATTCAGGTTTCCTAATTCTATTTGTCTAGAGGTAGAACCTTCCTTTCTATCCTTCAGCTCATCCACCCTCCGCTTCAGCTTTAGTTCAACATCGTTTACTAAAAGAATCGAGTATTTGCCACAAACTCTGATAAATACTGTTCAACTAATCTAAGTTTAAAATATAAAAGATTTACACCAGTAAGTTGCAAATATATATGGATTAGAATATTTGAGTTAGTGGCAAAGACTTGATTACTTTTTCACTTCATTAATAGAGTGATTCCGTTTAGGAAAGGTTTTGTAATAGTTTTATTGCAAGATTTTGCTTTAAAAACTCTGTTTTTATCACTATATCTTTGCAACCTGATGGGGTAGACCTCAGATATTTTAAACTATGAATTCGGTTATATCATTAGTCAAAGTTTTAAATATCCTGGTTGCAAAGATACGGGGATTCGCCGATTTCAGTTTCTGGAAAAGACTCAATCCATTAGACAAAATAAAGAATTTGTTCTTTTTATTTTCCAACCTGCATCTTGAATCTGCATATTCTGAATATTAAGTTTACTGGAGAGACTCTTAAACTTCTTATTCAGGACTTTCAGCTCTTTATCTAGGTTCTCCAATTCACTTCTCTCTGCCGTACTCAACCTCAATACAAGTATTTAGCATTTAATATTTATCCTCAAACAAACCTTTTGTATTAAATATCCAGATCCAGGATCCGCCCGAGGAAAAAGATGAAAATAATATATTTCCTCTGAATATTATCTCTGATATAAGTACATTGTGAATAATAAAACTTAAAAACACTTTCATGTTTTACATTTGTTTTTTATGCAATGAGTTCTTAATTTATGTTTTGTTATAAGTAAATTTTATAAACGAATTATAATTTGGCCGAATTTAATTTGTTAAGTTAAATGGTTTCAGAAAAAAAAAGAAATAAAGGGAATAAAAGAATATCCAGCTAAGAATAGTTTTCTCAAGCTTAGTCAATGTCTTAAATCAGTTCTTCATGGCCAACCTGCGATCCAAAGCAAACGTTTCGTTCTCTGATTTTCAAGGGAATTTCTTTAAAAAAATTACACCTGTACGCCTAGGAGGGGGGGGGGGGTGGTGGCAATTGTTAAACTTTAACCAATGCAAGAAATGAGGTTGATGTTTAATGAAACTACCTGGATTTCATTTCTACCCTTAACTCTGCTTCCAACTCTGATATCCTTGTCTTAGAACTCTCCATCTCGCTCAACTAGAAAAACGACGCTAAACACAATAAAATAAGGTTCGTAACTGAAAACGAAAAAATCAGTTAACTCTATTTTAAAGTGCAGGGGACATTAGTTCCAAAACTATCACTTGTCCCATTTCTAACACTGAGTGGATATGTAGTAAACAGGTCTTAGAAAAGATAATAACCTTCTTTCTAAGAGAGATAAGATCCCTGCTCTCCTGCTCCTTTAACCCATTCCTCCTCTCCACCAGTAACCTAGGAGTAAGTATTTACTTAAAGGAAGAAAAAAGAATATATTAATTCTAGATATCAATGTTTCAATGGAAGTATTAATACTAATTACTAACAACAACAACAAAAATATTGATGATAATGATAATGATGATGATGATGATACCTGAGATCTGACTGTAAACGCTCCACCGTATGAGAGTTCCTGCTGGATCTATTCTCTATTTTCTCCAACTAATAAAAATGTATTGAGAAAGAGAGGCTTCAGGAACTTTTGCAAGGATTTAAGATCTAACCCGAACTAACAACACCTTTTTTAAAACAAGTCAAACCAACGATCATTATTTTAGAAAGATATTTTAAATGTTAACTATTTATCTGAAGAATTCAATTAAACACCTAAATGCAACTATAAATAAAACGTTAATATTATACGACACTAATAGCGCGTCTTTGCGACCTCGTAGCTTCTCTAGTTTTCACACAAAAGCCAGGGAACCAAACTTTTTTAAAATCTTTTTAAAGAAGTTCTGATTAAAAACATGTGAGATTTCAATATCTTTTCTTGTTATTGTCTATATAATAACGCTCAAGTTCATTTATATATATATATTATATATATATGTCAGCCATAGCCATCCAAAAGGCTGGAACGACTGGGCCAATTATTTTTTATGGAACCCATGGGTAGTGGGTTCCCTGGTGATAACAAAGGCTTAAATTTTATTCCTCTTTAAAACTAGTTCCTTTAATTCCACGGGCAACGCCGATTATTCCATCTATTATTTACCTCTGTTTCTATACTACGCCTCTCTTGGTCCAGCTTGATAAAGTTCTCCTTGTCCTCCTTCAACTTTTCTCTCTGCTCATTCAACTCATCCAAACTAGTTCTGAACAAAATTTAACAAATTTAAACGGACTGTAGAAGAAATTTTAAATGACCCTTCATTTATAGAGTGGCATGTCCGATTCACAACGGTACCCTTCAAAGCATTTCTGATCTGTATTGATCGAAATTGATTATGTTCAGGTGAGGTTTTTCTTTTATAGTGAATTGCAGATTAATGCTTTAATAATGGAAGAAATTGTGATATTTAAACAGTTTTCACGACAAACAAATAAAAATTTATTTTGTATTGTTGATGGCTCTTTATGAATCGGACAAAGCCTTTTCTATAAAAAGAAGCTCCCATATATGTATTGTTTTATACTCTAAAAACTGACACAACTTTCAATTGATAATAATCCCATTCCCTTCATTTAATATTTGAAATAAATTCTCCAACCAACCCCCCCAACCTGATTCCAAAATAAAACTTATATAAGCCAGAAATGGACAGGGAAATCACAAAAGAAAAAAGTTCAAAGTAACAAAAACATATATATCTCATTTATACTTGAAGAAACAAAACTTTCCAGGGCACCGGTACAAATAGGGCATTGCCATCTTTGCATGAAGGTTTACTTAAAATTACGCTTACAGTCCCTTTTAAGGAGGGTAAGGACTTCATTTAAACCACATTTGACTCAAAATTGGAAACTCAAGATGAATCCTACGTGTATTGATGGAATCTTTTGAACATATTGTTTGGTCTCCTGGTCCCTCCAACCATAACTCCTTTACTCTCCACCTTATCTCCATCAGTAGTTATGAAATTGTAATCTAAATATAAATAAATTTGAACGTAGAGAATTTGAGAAATATTTTAATAAACCTAGGGTATATGAAAAATTTGTCATTAAAAAGCAAGTTTTTATACTTTTTCAAAAAAAAATCAAGAAAAAAAATGTTTTTTTTGCTTTAGAAAATGTTGTGAAAAATTAAGGTTTACATATGTAAAAAGTAGCAAAAGGTTGGTGATAAAAAGTGCTTAAGATTACCCGGAACTTACAGTAATAGTTTTGGCATAGGTGCAGAATAAATTTCAAAAAAAGATTGTTCCGATATCCAACCATCTCAACCCATTCAAAGGTCAAACCCATGTGCTTTTTAATAAAATAACTATTTATCTCTTCATTACAGGGAGGCAACAGGGATGCAATAAATATAGGAGGGACTATTACATTGCCGAGGCTTCCCAAGACCTTGCTGGGTCCTAAAGCATCACGAGCGTAGTGAGGGATTCTATATGACCCAACAAGGTCGACGGAAACACTTTCAGGATGAGTGTTCATGGAAAAGGTCACGAGGACAGGGTTTGCATAAAAAACAGCACAAAAAAAAAACAATAAAACACGCTTAAAAAGAAACACATGTAAATGGGCTTTTGTTCGTTTTTGGGTTATATTTTTTATAAAGAATTTTTCTAAATTGCCTTTTCTTAACTCTTGTGATGAAATAAGGTCTACTATCAACTGTGTTGATTTTTAAGAGTTCAAAGCACTAAAACTGACACATTTATTCATTTCCTAAGAATTAAAACAAATGAATATGGAGTTATTAAAAAAATATTATATTGAATGAATCAAACTTCGAAGTACGCAACCTTGGCACTCTGGACTTCAAGGCTGAATAGTTAACCTATTGCTTAAATAGTCCTAATATTATGAATTAGTATGAATTTTAGTAAATTTTAACTATTTTTAAATTGAAAAACACAAAAAATCCTAAAAAAACAAATAAAACCCAATAAAACCACTGGACTGGTTAAAATCCTGCGCACTACTTTTGTGCATCAGGTATACAGCTTTTTTAATGATTAGTCACGCCTTCAGTTCGACTTTATAATTAATATATCTTTTCAGTTTCCTGACTCGATGTGGTTGATCTGTTTGATCTTGGTGATCTGGTTAGTCTTAGTGATCTTGGTGATCTGGTTGATCTTGGTGATCTGGTTGATCTGGTTACCTTTATATTTTCTAGAAACTTCAACCGCAACATCAGTGTTCTTGCAAAGAACCCAGCTTCCGAAGAGAAACTTCATGCAAGCCATATACTCCTCCTTACACAATTATTAAAATTATTTTTTTTTCTTCAGAAAAATGTACATGGAAACAGTGCCTTAACTATAAAGCGAGTTAAGATTTGTTTACAACTTTGTTTTATTTAAAGTTTTACAATAAACAATTAAGTCTTCATTTATGTATAAGACTTATTTTCTAAATATACCTAAACTGCCATGTTTTCTCAATAAGCTGATTTTACTTATTCAAATGGGTCATAACAAAACAAAAAGGACATGTTTTGAAAATTTGCTAACAATGATTTCAACTTTTTAACTGGATTATGGCTGCTGATTGAATAAAGAAACATGACAAAAAATTTCCTGCACCTCTTCTTGAGGCTGTAAAAGTTGGTTAAAATCAAGGAGAATTGAATACAAGGAGGGGGCGATAAGGTTTCCGTACACTTTGCTGTGACGTTTTTGGACTGCTGAAGAATTAGTTTTTGCGTAACAACAATAATAAAGATTGTAAACAATAACACAAAGGATAAACAGACATTTGGTGCATCTCTGGCATTAGATGAAGATTCACCGTATACTAACTCATGTTTGTTTACATAAGATCGGCTGCCTTTGTTATTGTTACGCAAAAACTAGTTCTTCAGCAGTCCAAAAACGTCACAGCAAAGTGTACGGAAACCTTATCGCCCTCTCCTTGTATTTAATTCTCCTTGGTTAAAATGACCCAAATATGTGCATTGTGCAATGTGAATTGAGTACCCTGAATCTTAGTTTAGGTAGAAGAAGTATAGCATGTTTAGTGTTCTGGAATTCACCAAGTTTCCTGAAATATATTAACAATGATATTAAGAAGTGTATAATACAATATACCAGACACGATATGAGACCATTGGAGTTAAAGGACATGCATTTCATTGCATAGCGTAGTCGCATTCAAGAAAATATATACAAGAGCTGCATATTCTATATGTATATATATTTGAAATCTCTGTTTGTTTGTCAGATCATAACTCGAGAAACCCTGGACCGTTTTGCCTCAAATTTTACTGGGAAACTCGGGAGGCCCTCTGGAATGTTCTTAGTTTGGGTTTGAGATTCTAAATTGAGTGGATTGACTTTTATAGCGAAAATTTAGTTTCCCGGTAAAGTGCAGGTAAACGAGGGGAGTAACTTTTTGTAACCTGGGCAGAGCTGGTTCCCAAGCTAGTAGACTCATATATACAAGCTTAAATACGGCTGCATAGTATGCGTGCACAGCATAGACTCATACAAGAAAACATATTACATTTATTATTCTTCCTATGGTCTCATATTAAACCTCTAATGCATTATTTTCTTGAAAAATCAACCTCCTCGGCCCCTAATCATCCTGAAAATCAAGATTTATCGCCGAATTTGATTTGTGAAAAATATATTTTTCTTACGGGGGAAATAAATGAAGTAAATTGTTCCCAATTTTCCCTCCACCTACCCTTCATATACAGGGTAACCCACAAAGAATGAGTCTGTAAAGATGACCTGAAACTCATTAAATATGACGATTACAAGGGTAAAATATCTTTTTTTGCCACGAATACTGTCTTTTAATACCCTATTTATTGTTTACAGTAGTAAAGAAATATAAGGAGATAGACGTATGTACGTACTGTCGTCCCTGAAATTTAATCCTTTGCAAGGGCGTACACAGAAATAAATCAAGGTGGGGGCCAAATATGCGCAAAGCCCCAATTATTTTGTGGGGGAGGGGGCGGCGGCGGCAAAATTTGAACTGTAAATTTAAAACATTTGACTTTTTGGATACTTTAAAGGTACACATACACTCCAATTACCTTGCAGTATTCCCTGGGTTTCTAACTTTCGATTGATATGAATGAAGCCATAGTTAAAACATTTTTTATTGGTCGAGGTCATTAAAGGTCATTAGAGATCATTAAAAGTCATTAGTGTCCAATTTTTTTTAAAAAATAGTCTCCCTTATTATGCATGCAGCCAACAAATTGGAAGATTTGAACAAAAAATGAAGGCTGGGACCCCCCCCCCCCCCTACATTAAATAGGACATATCCACAATTCCCTTTGGCATCCGGTAGATATTCCGAAATAATTTTTTTTAAAATAAAATTTATCTTACTTTGGCCTAAGCTGATCCAAAGGAAGGAAATTGAACTCTCCTTTTAATCCTCTCCTGCAAACATCAAATCAAATCAAATCAAATCAGATCAGATCAGATCAGATCAGATCAGATCAGATCAGATCAGATCAGATCAGATCAGATCTGATCAGATCAGATCAGATCAGATCAGATCAGATCAAATATATAAATTTTTCTTAAGCATACAGAAAATAACATATCTTTAAAACATGTATTTGTAAAACTTTGCAATATATTAATCCTAAAAAAATGGAAAAACGATCTTTACAGCACGTTTGTTATTGCATCGTTTCAACTGAAGGCACATTACAACCTGTTGCATTCCTTGATAATATAGTTAGCCACGTCCTTGGTGGAGACCACGTGGTGATACATCTTCATCCCACCAATCCCATGAACTACAGTGTACAGGTTCTCATCACAGTCCAGCAGACTGGCAACCATACCATAGTATCCATCTTGTATCCTCTCATCAGCTCCATCCACTACCTAACAATACAATCAGTGTAATAGGACAAAAATCGGAGAAAAAAACTAAATTCGGACCCAACCGAGAAAATCTGAAGAAAAACAAACAAGATTTATAAAAATCATGAAAAAGTAATTATAAATATACAATAGTTGTCAGAAGTAAATCTGGATTAAGCACAGGGTGTCACACGAAGCATGACAGTAGGAAGACGACATGAAGGTCGTTTTTAATCTTTAAATAATTTGCGGCATTTATTCGTAAATCTAGTAATAGAGTTAATAATCACAAAATACCCTTAGTCTTGCCATTGCCAAAATGTGGTCTACCTTTGATGTGCTTTCAATATTACTGGATATATGAAGAATTTTGTTCCGATTCCGACAATTTTGGATATATTGAATAAAGTTAAATCTGATCAAAATTCACAGAAAGAAAAGACCGACTAAATTTTGGAAATTTCAGTAGTGATTAGGCGAATTTGTGATAATTCTTCCAAGAATCATACATGTACAAATAGGTTCATGACGACTGATTTAGTGCAAATAAATTCAACAATCGAAGACGACCTTCAAGTCATCTTGCTTCTGTCATGTTTCGTGGGACACCCTGTATATAAACTTGGTTCTAGGTTATAAAATACTGGTTACAAAGCACTCCATTTAATGAATAAGTGTAGATCACGGCATCAATAAAATTGGGTTGCGAACATTTTTCGGTTTTCCAATAGGAATATCATCTTAGCTTACGGTAGCATGTAAAATAACGTTAATTGTAAACCTTATCAACCCAGCAGTATTTGCCAATCATATTTAATTCAACTAACTTTGAGAGAAAATATTTTACCCTGGGACCAGATTAAAGGAGTTAAAACTAGTTTGCTGAACAATTGATTAAATCCGGTTTCAGATTTTACAACAAACTAACTTGGAAACAGGACACTCATAGTTACTTTTTGTCGTAAATTACGATTTTAGCTATTTTTTCCTATAAAACTCCACTCAGAATCATAAAACCAAGCTAAGAACATTCTCGTGGCTCTCCCGAGTTCCAAAATCAAAATATGAGGCAGTTGGTCCAGGGATTTCTGAGTTATTATCGGAAAACAAACAGACAGACAAACAGCGCTACAACTTTATATAGATGCTTATTATTGATGCATTATGTTTGAACAATGAGAGATGTAATTAATAACCTCCTCAATAGTCTGGGCTGCGTTGATACTATTTATTTCAGCTCTTGTTGAAGCAATCTCTCTCCATCTTGCTGTAGTCAGCTGCTCTAACCTATCCTGCTCAAAGTTACCATTCCTATAATATTTAATGTTAGTTTCTATATCGGGGATATTTCTTGGATAATGTCAATAACTTAACTTTGCCAGTTTCAACCCTAACCCATATCAACTAATTCAATATAATGTCACTAAAAACCATGAATCACTGCCGTATACATATATAGGTTTATTGCAGCCCCAAGAAAATGAACTATGCTCTCTCTGTAAAAAAAAAACTCAGATCTACATTAAAAAAGATAAATTTGAAAATGTCTCCATAAAACTTATTTAACATTTCACAAAAAATAATAATCTAAGTTGAGAGCCTGGGGACAAACGAAAAGTTTAACTTTAACTTTGATACTTTCCACTCTGAAAATTAATCGTAATGTGAAAACAAATAAATATAAATAGATGGGGGGTGTTATCAATTTTCAACATTAAACCTTTAGGTTTAATTTATTCCATGTAATTTTTTTTATACAAACCTGACAGATCCTTCAAGGGATAAAAACTGACTCATTGTGTTAGCCTTCTCCTTCTCTAGGTCCATCTTCTTATCTTGATCACCTTCAATCCTAAACACAACTTAATCTTGATCACCTTCAATCCTAAACACAACTTAATCCTGATCGCCTTCAATTCTAAACACAACTTAATCTTGATCACCTTCAATCCTAAACACAACTTAATCCTGATCACCTTCAATCCTAACACAACTTAATCTTGATCACCTTCAATCCTAAACAAAACTTAATCTTGATCACCTTCAATCCTAAACGCAACTTAATCTTGATCACCTTTAATCCTAAACACAACTTAATCTTGATCACCTTCAATCCTAAACACAACTTAATCCTGATCACCTTCAATCCTAAACACAACTTAATCTTGATCACCTTCAATCCTAAACACAACTTAATCCTGATCACCTTCAATCCTAAACACAACTTAATCTTGATCACCTTCAATCCTAAACACAACTTAATCCTGATCACCTTCAATCCTAAACACAACTTAATCTTGATCACCTTCAATCCTAAACACAACTTAATCCTGATCACCTTCAATCCTAAACACAACTTTTATATATCAACTATTCTATCTTCATCCTTCTATAGATCAACTATTCTATCTTTATCCTTCTATTCTACCTTTATCCGTCTATAGATCAACTTTTCTATCTATATCCATATTTAGATTGACTATTTTATTAATATCCTTAATGCGATAAAAAAGCGCTTTTGATCGCTACTAATCTTACTTCTATCTGTTGCGTCTATAAGGAGAAAATTGATAAAGACGTCTCATACCGAAGAGCGTAGCGCACATACAAATTGAGAAAATTGGAACATACGACTTAGACCGTAAAAAAATCAAATTAATAACAAACAAATCATTCAGATATTACAACCTATGGTCATCGATTATCTTTCGCCACATTTGTATATATTTAATATTTCATACTAGTTTTGATTTTGTATTTTAAAATAATATTTAGCTTACAACTTGTTTTCGAACATTCCTGGAAAATATGAAAATGTCGTCTTCATTACCAAAAATCCTCGAAACAGGAATAAACGTTTATATAAGTAACTCTCAGATCATAACAATAAAAACATATTATGAAAAATCAACTATATATAAATGTGGCGAAAGATAATCGATGACTATAGTTTGTAATATCTGAATGATTTGTTTGATTAAATTAAATTAAATTGATTTTTTTACGGTCTAAGTCATATGTTGCAATATTCTCAATTTGTATGGACGCCATGTTATTCGGTATGAGACGTCTTTAACAATTTTCTCCTTTTGGACGCAACAGATAGAAGTAAGATTAGTGGCGATCAAAAGCGCTTTTGTATCGCATTAAGCCTATTTCCCCTTTCATTTTTCGCGAACACTCCCTTTAAAGTAGATCAACTCAACTTAGAGCTAAGAACATTCCCGTCGGTCTCCCGAGTTCCCTGATATAAATTTTGGCAAATCTGTCCAGTGGTTCCTGAGTTATGATCGGACAAACAAACTGACAGACAGACAGACAGACAAACAAACTCATTCCTTCTACATTTCTCTAACTATCTTTATTTTCTATGCTTCTTCCATTTCTACATTCTGCTTTCATTTTCTATCATCTGCCTTAATTTTTTTTTATTTGATATACCCATATAATTATTTTTTTTTTATCTGAATTCTGCCTTTCTAGTTTTATATCTTTTAATGTTCCCTTTACAGTCCTGTTTCAGTTTTTAATTTATATTTTAAATTCTGATTTTTACTAGATTTTTTTCTTGTTTCTCTCATATGTGTTAATAACTTAATATTTTTAAATTTTTAACAATTACAGGGTGGCCAAAACTTTTAGAAAAAATCCGTACAAAAATCCGTACATTTTCATAGGAAATCCGTACAATCCGTACAATTTTCGAAAAAATATCCGTACAATCCGTACAATTTTCGAAAAAAAATCCGTACAATCCGTACATTTTTTCGAACAAATCCGTACATTTTTTAAAAAATCCGTACAATTTTCGAAAAATTTAACCATTTTTGAAAATATTATTCAACACTGTCTCAAGAACTATAGAACTATAGAACTAGAGAACTAGAGAACTAGAGAACTAGAGAACTAGAGAACTAGAGAACTAGAGAACTAGAGAACTAGAGAACCAGAGAACCAGAGAACAAAAGAACCGAACCAGAGAACTAGAGAGCTGGAGACCTAAAAACTAGAGAGCTAGAAAGCTAGAGAACTAGAGAACTAGAGAACTAAAGAACTAGAGAACTAGAGAACTGAAGAACTAGAGAACTAGAGAACTAGAGAACTAATGAACTAGATAATAGAGAACTAGAGAACTAGAGAACTAGGAACCAGAGAATTAGAAAATCAGAGAATTAGAGTACTAGATAATAGCGAACTAGAGAACTAGAGAACTAGAGACCAGAGTACCAGAGAACTAGAAAACTAGAGAACTAGAGAACTAGATAATAGAGAACAAGAGAACTAGAGAACTAGACAACTGGAGAACTAGATAATAGAGAACAAGAGAACTAGAGAACCAGAGAACCAGAGAACAAGAGAACCAGAGAACAAGAGAACCAGAGAACTAGAGAACCAGAGAACCAGAGAACTAGAGAACTAATGAACTAGATAATAGAGAACTAGAGAACTAGAGAACTAGAGAATCAGAAAACCAGATTACCAGAGAACAAGAGAACCAGAGAACCATAGAACCATAGAACCAGAGAACTGGAGAACTAAAGAGCGTTGATTCTAATTTTTTAAACTGTTTAGATCAGTGTGTAGGCAATTTAACAACCAAACAATTAAGTTATAATTAGAAAGAGTGGAGTACAGATTTAGAATCTAATATAATTAAAAATAGCGTGGTACAGGGGTTGCACACTCAATTAAAAGAAAGTTAATATTAAACTAAAAATGAAAATATTTACAGATAAACGGAAGAAACCTGAGAGGATGTTCTCAGATCTGATAAAGAGACAGATAGATAGATAGATAACCAGACAGACAGATAGATAGACAGAGAAACAGATAGACACATACACATATAGATAAACAGAGAGACAGATAGGATATATAAACAGATAAATAAAAAGATAGATAAACTGACATGCAGATAGATATACAGATGGATAGACAGATAGCTAGATAGATAGCTAGACATATAGCTAGACATATAGCTAGATAGAAAGCTAGACAGATAGATAGACAGATAGCTAGACAGTTAGCTAGACAGATAGCTAGACAGATAGACAGATAGATAAACACATTCTCAAATGAACACTTCTGGAACATATTCTCAAATGAACACTTCTGGGATATCGAAAATTATGAATGAATTTTGATTGTCAATTGAAACGTTAATCAATCTAATATTATTTAGAATGCAGAAAATAAGTTAAACTAACTTCATTTTGACGAGATTTTTTTTTGAAATTTACATGAAAAACTTGCTGAAATGAGTGAAAATTTCAAAAAACCCGGTGTATTTCCAGGATAAAAATCCGTACAATCCGTACAATTTGAAAAAAAATATCCGTAGAATTTTAGGGTTACAAAATAAAAAAATCCGTACATTTTAGCCACCCTGCAATTATTATTAATACTGAATGTCGTTTACTATTTAATGAGATAAAAACCTTGATTTTATATCCCTTATTTCCTCCTTCTTCTCCTGGTGCACACTATCGATCTGAGTTAGCTCCGTCTTGATGTTCTCCTCTGCCTCCCTGAGCTCCGCTAAACCTGTCTCCAGGTTGGTCAGGTTCGTCTTCTCCTCCTTGATCTGGTTGCAGAGCCAGGTGTCCCGATCCTTGCGGGTTTTAAACTGATCTCCGTGGGTTGTCTTCGTCCTTTCAGAAATATTTCAAATTAAGAAAAAAAGAAATTCAGAGAGCGGAAAACTCTTGTATTGTGGATATCGAGATCAATGGTTGATCTCGATCTTTTGTTAACGTGCAGATTAATTTAATCTTTATTTGATTTCCAACATGGTAGTCGTACCAAGTGTTGAAGGAAGCTTTGATCAGGAGAGAGTGAACTAAAATGAAAATATGGAATGGTATAGTTTGTTTTCCAGGTCTTCAAAGCCAGCTTGAAAGAAAACCTTTTAACCCTTTTGTGCAGTTTGAAATGGTTTTGAAAAAGGATTTTTTTAAATGATCATTAAATACTTTCTTTCAGCAATTAATCATTTAATCATTGAAACTTTCCTAATCCAGTTGCTTCTCTTTTGCTTAGTATCAATATTTAGACTAATCCCTTCAACTTCCTGAGCTAGATCAGCAGCCTCTTCTCGCATCTTATCAACCTTACTAACTCCAGTATTCAATTCATTCTTAGCATCTTCCAGCTCACCTTAACAGCAATGTAAAATATTTATTGCAAGCTATAGTACCGTTTTGGTATCTCGTAGCTCCGTTAGCTTTGATTTTACTCTCTAGTATTAGTAAGGCCGAGGAATTGAGTCTTTGGCACAAATTAAAATTTTCTAATCCCTATATCTTTCTAACCTTAAGGTGAAATCCTTGGATAGTTCAAACATTATTTGATCTAACAGAATTCATGTTAGAAATATCTAAGGTCAATGCCAGTGAGTTGCAACGATATTGGCATTAGAAAATCAGAGCGACTATAGCGATCTCAATCTTCTCTAGTATTGAATTAACACCCTATAATGACAAAAGCAAAGATTTTTGAATTTTAAATTCTTTTCTTTTCAATGGATCTGTAGAAAAAGGAGCTACGTTTAAAAACGTATTGTTTAATGTATTTTTTTATTTAATTGAAATTGCTTTAATTGAATAAAATCAAAATTTTATCTTTTTTGTTACGCCTATTTTTCAAAACATGTTTTCAGAGATTTAAGTTTAAAGGAAACTCATTCAAGTTAAATGTAAGTTCAAATTTTCTGTATTGATGCAACACTTCTGCAGAAACTGAACCTGAAATATCCTGTGACTGGGTTTCTTGAATATCCTTGATGGAGAGCTTTAACCTGACCATCTCGTGGGACAACCTCTCCATCTTCTTCTCCTCCTAGACAGATTGCAAGTTTTATTAATATTTTTTTTCATCCTTTTAGAATTATTCAACTTTAGTTGCAAGTTTTAACACTTTTCAAATAATAGCGGATAAAAAGAAGTGCTTTTTACTTCCTCCTCTCCACCCAAATAATGACCGAGAAAAATAGTTAAAAAATTAAACGAAGAAACTGATTTTTGTCACAGACTCTGATTTTCTCAATCCATAATTCTTGTAATCCAATATCGTGAACCTTTGTTATTGCAAAATTCATATTCTGTTTGATCAAAATTGCCTACGGATAAAATATCACCATTAAGTTTACACCATTAAGTTGTAGATATACAGGGATTTAAAAATTTGAGTTTGTGGCAAAAAAATTCCTTATGATTTTTTATTTTACCTGATCCTTGCTTTCCTGTGTCACGTCTAGGCTACTCTTGAGCTGGTCAACTTCCATCCTTAGTTCCTTTAAGCCTTCTTTTATCTCCTATCAAATAAATACATCCTTTATCTTCTAATAAATAGATTAATCCTTAATCTCTTAATAAACAAATCCATCCTTAATCTCCTAAAAAATAAACCCCTCATTAATTTCCCATTAAATAAATACATCCTATATCTCCTAATAAATAAATCCATTCTTTATCTCTTAATAAATAAATCCATTCTTTATCTCCTAATAAATAAATCTTTTATCTCATAATAAGTAAATCCATTGTTATATCCCCTTAAAAATAAATTAATAAATAAGCATATCCTAAATCTCTTTATAAATCAATCTATCCTTTATCCATAAATACATAAATCTATCCTTAATCTCCTAATAATACAAATATATTTAAGTATCTAAGCGTAATCTTATTTAAAGGATTTCTCTCTAAAAAAGATAATCAATATTGTTTTGTTGTTGAATAACCTGTAAATCTGCCGTAACATCCTTCAGATTGTTAATGTCTCCATTGAGATGACGCATCTCGAACGCTTTCTTCTTCTCCCTGGGTGGCAAACAAAAGAAATGAGCACGCGCTTAAAAATACTTAAAGGGACTGTAAGCGTAATTTCAAGCGATATGGATCCTTGATCAGACAAAGGTTTAAAGGGTAATGATATAAATCCTTGATCAGACAAAGGTTTAAAGGGTAGCGATATAAATCCTTGATCAGACAACGGTTTAAAGGGTAGCGATATGGATCCTTGATCAGATAATGGTTTAAAGGGTAGAGATATGGATCCTTGATCAGATAAAGGTTTAAAGGGTACCGATATGGAGCCTTGATCAGACAACTAGGTTGAAAGTACCGATATGGATCCTTGATCAGACAACTAGGTTGAAAGGTCCGATATGGATCCTTGATCTGACAACTAGGTTTAAAGTACCGATATGGAGCCTTGATCAGACAACTAGGTTGAAAGTACCGATATGGATCCTTGATCAGACAACTAGGTTGAAAGGTCCGATATGGATCCTTGATCTGACAACTAGGTTTAAAGTACCGATATGGAGCCTTGATCAGACAACTAGGTTGAAAGTACCGATATGGATCCTTGATCAGACAACTAGGTTGAAAGGTCCGATATGGATCCTTGATCTGACAACTAGGTTGACAGTACCGATATGGATCCTTGATCAGACAACTAGGTTGACAGTACCGATATGGATCCTTGATCAGACAACTAGGTTGAAAGTACCGATATGGATCCTTGATCAGACAACTAGGTTGAAAGGACCGATATGGATCCTTGATCAGACAACTAGGTTGACAGTACCGATATGGATCCTTGATCAGACAACTAGGTTGAAAGTACCGATATAGATCCTTGATCAGACAACTAGGTTGAAAGTACCGATATAGATCCTTGATCTGACAACTAGGTTGACAGTACCGGTATGGATCCTTGATCTGACAACTAGGTTGAAAGTACCGGTATGGATCCTCGATCTGACAACTAGGTTGACAGTACCGGTATAGATTCTTGATCTGACGAATCTGACAACTAGGTTGAAAGTACCGGTATGGATCCTTGATCAGACAACTAGGTTGAAAGTACCGATATGAATCGGACATAAAAGGCCATTTAAAATACGTCCTTTAACTCTAAAGTTTTCAAAATATATAGTATTTGCATACTTTTTATATACAAAACTTTGAACATTAAGAGATTGGAAACCTTCATAACAAGGTGGAAAAGGTAAAAGATTCCATATAACTGAAAGGTATAAAATTGTAAGAGATCTAGAGGTTCACAGGCAAACTAAGCCTTTTCAGTTTTGCGGTAATTTTTCAACTTTATAAGAATTGGTTTTTTTTACAAAGATTTTACCTTATCTCCTCCAGTTCCTTTGAAAACAGAGCAAACTCAAGACATTTCTTCCTGAAAATTAGAAATAAAATAAAATATTATATACACTGCAGGTATTGTATGATCGAGAAAAATACTAATGTGCGCAACTTACTAAAATCGTTTAGTTCTGAACAGAAGATAATGTTTTAAACACATTTTAGAAACTAAATTGAGATGTCGTTTTAAGAGTTAGTTTTGCTATTTTGGCGTAAACAAAGGTTTGAAGTGATAAGTTTACACTACAGGGTGCCCCAATAAACATGGGAATTGAGAGTCGATTTGAAAGTCGTCTTTGAATTTTGATATTTAATGCATCGCAAAGAAAATAAAGAAAAACGAGTCTGTACGTCTGATGAGCTTTTCATAACGTGATCTACCTTTCTCGTATCTTAAAAAAGGACAAAGATATTAGATGATAAGACAATTTTGATATAGGAAATAAATTAAAATTTGTACAAATTTTGCAATATCTCCGCCATTTAAAAAGATTTTATATATATATATATGTATGGTAGACCACATTCAGAAAACCTCAAGACTAGGCGTTTTCGATATTAGATGTTTAAACTGGAATACTGCAATAATTGAGTCTAGGAAAAAATTCCACATGGATCGAAGACGATATAACAGTCCTTACTAAATTCCCATGTTTATTGGGACACCCTGTACTTACTTGTTATTAAGATTGTTGAAATCCTTTAGAGCTTTACGTTCTTGATTCAGCTCTTCACTTTTTTTCTAGAGATACAGGTCAACTTAATGCAAGGACATAAGGATACTAGCAGGTAGGTGAACTATATACAGGGATATAATAGGATGCTAGCAAGTAGGTCAACTATATACAGGGATATAATAGGATACTAGCAGGTAGGTGAACTATATACAAGGATATAATAGGATACTAGCAGGTAGGTGAACTATATACAAGGATATAATAGGATACTAGCAGGTAGGTGAACTATATACAGGGATATAATAGGATACTAGCAGGTATGTCAACTATATACAAGGATATAATAGGATACTAGCAGGTAGGTTGTGTTGATACTAATAAAGAGAAATGATACATTATTAAGATAAACTTAAGTTGAAAATGTTCCTCAAGTTCTCCAATCTCCTCTTCAATCCCCTTTAGAGTCCGGTTTACACTCGCCAGATTCTCACTTTAATGCACAGAATTTATTTCATGTAAATATAAAATGTAAATAGATAAAACCTTTTTACAGGTATCATTCAATCTCGCTTGTTTATTGAGTTATCTTATATAGGGGATGGTATTTAGACAAATTTATTTCAAAACAATAGATTTTCGATAAGAAAAATCGAAGCTAAAGATTTTCCTAATCGTTTAATAATTATCTAAATTTCCAGTTAACTAGAAACAAAAATCTCTCTTCACAATTATTAAGAATAAAATTTCCCTAATTTTCGGATCCCGAGTCTCAAAACTAGAATCTCCAGCAATTTTCTTTACGATGTCCAGTCTTGTTGCATCTAAAATAATGTAAAATTTTCATTGTTTTTGACAAACCATGAACATCATTTACGTAATATTTTCCAGTTTAAATGAGCAGCATCTCTCTAATGAAGATTTTCATGTTCCCCAATGTAGGAAGAAAATGTTACCATCAGGTTTTAAAGATATAAGAATTTGAAAATTCAAGTTTGTGGTGAGAATTCAGTCCCTTAGTTTTTGATAACTTTCAGATTTTTGAGTTTAAAAAAGTTTAAATCGTATGTATCTATTAAATTAGTCAGTCGAATATTGATTTCTAGATCTTGCTTAGAGTTTCACAAATGTTCCAGTACATCAACATTTTCAAGAGCAAGGAAAATTTCAACAAGATTATGTTCTTCGTGGAAAAGGAAAAGAGTATTTAATCAAAGGTCAATTGAGGTCATATATATGACTGAAAGAGTAAACACGTTTTTGTCTATTCCGCGCGAGCAGAGCGAGTAAAGGTCAATATCATTTTGTTAAAAAAGTCCCTTATATGTAATATAAAACTGTGATTGAAAACGTTGTATGTTGTGCAAAAAGAAAAGATAACGCGAAAAAGGATCAAATCAGATTTCTTAAATTTAATCACACTTCTTATTTTGTTCTTTTTTGTGGCGTGAAAGCGAAATTGTAAGCGAAATGAAATAGACAAATACCTGATGCAGTTGAGAATAAGCTAATTTGTCCCTGTCTGACAATATTGTACGGGTTTTCGGATCTAAATCCAGCAGTTGCCAGCAGGTTTCTTAACTCGGCTCGGGTCACTGATCAAAGTATTTAAATCAAAAGATTTGTTAAGGGTAACCCGCAAAGAATGAGAATTCGACGACGATATCAACTTAGTCAAATGTATGCAGTTCTTAATTCTTAGATACATTTTTAAAAAAGATTAGAGAATGTTTTGTTATAATTTTCAAACTTATTTAGATTTGTGTTTATTGTGTAAAGAAGTTTCGCAAATCTATAATCGCGTGGGTATCAAAATATCAGTCTTGAACCACCACGAGTTAAGAAACGTAAAATTCGTAAAAATCCTTTGAAAATTAACCAAATTATTAGAAAAAAACAAATCCAAAAAAACAGTTTTTCATAAATCAACATTAAATATTCAGCGGTTCAAGACGCATCTTCTGATACCCAATTCAACAAATTTTGAAAAAATTAAAAAATTTTCTTTCCTTAATGATCGTTTTTTTAATCCTTTGAATTATAATTGGAATTTGAATAAATTCAAATTTTTTTTAATTTTTGTCTTTAACAAATGATGCTTATTATTTGTTACTGTTCAGTTTATTGATGGAGCAAAAGGGATTTGATATGATGGATGAAATAGTTTAATCCTTATTCTTTAACAAGCATTTTAATTTTAATTTTAAATTTTTTGAAAACAGTTTCAAGGTGTTCGGAACCATTAAATTAAAGAGGAAAGAATGATTAAGCGTACAGTTGTCTCTGATGATAGTCATCCCGTACATACAGGGTTACCCATAAAGAATGAGACTATGAAGACGACCCGAAATTCTTAAAATCTGACAGTTCCAAGGTTGAGTTAGTTTTTGGCTCAAATAAAGATTTTTTATGACTTCTTAGTGATTTGACAATGAAAGAAGCAAGTCTACAGTTGCAGGGAATTATATTAGGAAACCAACAATTTAAATTATATTAGGAAACACGCAGTTTAAATTATATTTAGGAAACACGCAGTTTAAATTATATTAGGAAACATACAGTTTAAATTATATTAGGAAACAAACAGTTTAAATTATATTAGGAAACATACAGTTTAAATTATATTAGGAAACAAACAGTTTAAGTTATATTAGGAAACACGCAGTTTAAATTATATTAGGAAACAAACAGTTTAAATTATATTAGGAAACAAACAGTTTAAATTATATTAGGAAACACGCAGTTTAAATTATATTAGGAAACATACAGTTTAAATTTCGTACAATCAAATGTGAAGTCTCATCCTTGGTGGGTAACCCTATAATTTCATATATTCAACTCTTGATCCTACAATTAGAGGATATATTAAGAGAATATTGTAAAATATTTAAAGATGACCAGCAGTTTACAACTTAAGAAAAGGAATTGAGTTTTTGCCACAAACTCAGATTTTTTTAATCGCTATATCTTAACAACCCAATGTCGTAGACCTTAGATATTTCAAACTATTTATTTGGTTAAATCGAATGATCTAAGTTTGAAATATCAAAGGTTTCCTTCTTTAGGTTGCAAAGATATTTGCATTAGAAAATTTGATTTTGTGGCACAGACTCAATTCCTTTTACTCTACTTTTACAATGATAACTTGTAGGAGTTGTTATATGAACTTAGGAATTAAATGACGACTTCTTTGTTCCAAGCGGCATTATTTCGTAAATATGATTTTGTAGTATCAGAGTTAAAACATTTAACGTATTAAAAACTATTTCCAAAATGTGGTCTACCACTTGTTTACCTTCAATATTGACGGAGATATTGAGAAATTTGTTCAAATTCCAGTCATTTTAAAATCAACAAAATTGTAAAAATGTTTAATACCTTTTTTATAATTTTAAACATTTTGGAAACCTCATTCAACGTTCAATCTTTTTTTTATGAACTTTATATCATATATCAATTATTGGAAATCAAAGATGATATTCAAGTAGTCTTTCAATTACCAATGTTAACTGTGACACCCTAATTTAATACCAATTTAAGAGGGCTATTATCCAAAAAAAAATTCGGTCTCTCAAAAACCGATTTTTTGTCCTTCAGATATAAGGTTCTTACGTTACCTACAAAATTAGGTCAAGAAAATATGCATAAAATTATGATTCGAAAATTGGTTTTATTAAAACACATCCTGCCTTTCTTATGATCTATAAGAATACAATCCTCCTTCATCCCAACCATCCTCTTGACAGAAAACTCATCCTTCTCTACAGGGAACCTTCGGTCAGAGTTATCGAAGATAATCTCCACGATCGCCTTCAGTGACCTTGACTCCTGGCAGTTGTGGATGAATGAAGAACGCTGCTTTGAGTTGAGGTTGAAGTACTGTGACACGATTTCATGAAAATTTTGATTGATTTTAAATATCTTACGGTGCCCTTTAAACTGAGCAAAATTGTTTCAGATATCCTTGCTTTTCTATCTGAAACCTGATAATTCTCTATAAAAATGAACTGAATCTATAAAATAAAACTTAAATGATGGGATTTGCTAACGCAGACCTATTCACTTTTAAAGGAGACTTCTACAATGAAGAATAGTCAAAGTCTATAAGTTAAGAATTTTTGACATGTATGTGGTCCTTAATAAAAAAATTTCAAAATTTATAACCCGATCTAAAAATAAACCCCAAGAATTCACAACTTTTCAGGGAGATGAATTCTTATCCTTTTTCTGGATGTTCATCAGAGTGTTTTAGTTTAACTGCTTTCTAACGAATTTTTAAATAAATTGTTTACTAAATTTTTTTTACATAGCAGGACACCCTCAGCTAAGCTTTCGGTGTGTACTGTAGTGATTTGCAATCAACTGGCCGAATAAAATGTAGGGTTTAGTGGAGAGTATATATCTAATTCATATTTCTTATTTTTCACTCCCCTTCCCTCTAAACTTTTTTTTATTTTCTACCACAAACTCGAAAGCTATAAAAACATGATTTTATGATATATATATTTTAGTGCTTTATAATCCTCAAAAGTATGTACAGGGTGTCCCAATAAACATGGGAATTCAGTGACGAATTCGATACCGTCTTTTAAATAATTCTTTAATTTAGAATAGTGATACCTACTGAGAAAGCTGTAATCTGTAAGAGTTTGTCTGCTATGTTCACATTTTGTTTGTTTATGCTTTGACTGCATACGGTTGTACTTAGTAAAATAAGAAAATTGCAGTTTACAAACAGAGTAAACTTGTCTGTCTCATCCAAAGATAATATATATATAGATATGCAGGCAGGTATAAATTTAGAGGTCTTGAGAAAATGTGCAAACAGCACCATCTCTGTCGTACGCATGGCATTTTATCCTCTGGATTGTTGCTAATTTATCACTTTGTTTATGCGTGATAACACTAAATGCGTACTATAGTATCAACAATGTATACTGCATATTGTACTTAATGAAACAAATTCAACAATGCAAATAAAACTGAGGTAGGAATTTGACTAGACAAAGTTTAAATGTGCTAGTTGTACTGAATGGCATACGTAAATTAACGCAATTTAAATAAAAATTATGACTATAAAAGTACATCGAGTCTAGGAAAAAATTACAAAAGATCTGATCATAACATAAACAAAACGCGTACTGTATCTTTGTGTTACCTTGAAATTTAATTTTATTGGTCAAACAGGTCCAGATAGCAACACTTGAACTATACAGGATGCAATACGCGTACTGTATGTTTATATAACACAAATGCGTATTTCCTACAGATAGCAGCAAGGAGAGAAAGGAATATAGAAAGTAATCAATTTGCTATAGATGTCTCTCCTTGCACATTTTCTCAGAGGTTCAAAAATTAGTTGTCTGCTACAAGCAATTTAGGAAGGAGGTTTCTACCTGCCTGCATATCTATATATATTATCTTTGGTCTCATCTTGCGGATACATTATTGACACATCTTTACAGCCATTTACCGTTTTCATAAATTAAACTCCAGCAGACATAATTATATTATGGCATTTGAAATTAGGTATTACAATGCTAATTCATAACAAGGACGATATCAAATTCGTCACTGAATTCCCATGTTTTTTGGGACACGCTGTGTTAAGAAAAGCAAGTATATTGTGGCGTTTGTGGCACTGGCAAAGAAGTTGTGGTTGATCATTTGTCGATCCAGGGATATATATTTTCTTGAAATTCTTTCCCATTTTTCTACTTGGGTTTTGTCTACTTTTACTCCGTAAGTCCTCAAGGCTATATCTTTTACATATTTTCTAATGAAGTTGTGCGCGAAGCGCGAAAAAATATATCTTCGTTTTTTTTTACCTGTCCCTAACTTCCTTTATCTCACCAAACCTTATCCTTCCCAAGAATATAATGCAAGGAAAGTTAATTGCAGTTGCGTATACTCTGCGTACATATTGAAATCAGTTCTCTCTGGGCAGAATTTGTAAACAAGAATAGATGCCTCAGTGTTCGTTTAGTATGAGGAGGTTAAAAGCATTAAATTTTGATAATTCACATAATAGTTTCCTATGACCAGAATATTTCATTGTTCATTTATGTGAAAGATGGATCCTATGTCAGACTTCGACATCCGTCTTATGTTTAAATTACCGCCCAGTGACAGTAAACTCACTGCATTACAAAAGCTGCGTACATCTCTGAAATAACTTTCCTTGCATTAAATCCTTGATCCTTCCACACTTTTTCTCTTCCCTACATTTCTATAACTTGTTATCTTAAATATTTTAGACTCAAGGGACATATTATATCGGGAAACAATACAGATAACATTTATTTTAGGAACTCCCATATGTTTATGGTTTAAAATAGACGAGATTCAATAAATTTGTTTAGAGAGAAAATGAAGAATTCAGGGGGAAAATCATTAAATCCTGTTTATTGTGTAAAATCATTAAATCCTGTTTATTGTGTGAAATCATTAAATCCTGTTTATTGTGTGAAATCATTAAATCCTGTTTATTGTGTAAAATCATTAAATTCTGTTTATTGTGTGAAATCATTAAATTCTGTTTATTGTGTAAAATCATTAAATTCTGTTTATTGTGTGAAATCATTAAATCCTGATTATTGTGTAAAATCATTAAATCCTGTTTATTGTGTAAAATCATCAAATCCTGTTCATTGTGTAAAATCATTAAATCATGTTTATTGTGTAAAATCATTAAATCCTGTTTATTGTGTGAAATCATTAAATCCTGTTTATTTTGTGAAATCATTAAATCCTGTTTGTGTAAAAACATTAAATCCTGTTAGTGTGAAATCGTTGAATCCCGTTTGTGTGAAATTGTTGATTCCTTTTTTGTGTGAAATCGCTAAATCCTAACAAAAAAACACGAGCTCCATGAAATGTCCCTTTTCTGAGAATATAAGCTCCACAGCACAGAAGAAGTTTGATTTTCCTGCTCCATTCTTTCCTAGAAGAGTGTTCTGTCCTTGATCCAGGGGTCCTAGAACAGTCTTCTCTTTATAGCTCTTAAACCCCTCCAAGATAATATACTTTATATACATTCTGCTCCAGGTCAAAATCTAGAATAGTCTTTATCTCTACAAATTTTAGCAGTTTACTTGTATTCTATTTGTAATAAAAACATTTACATTTTGAGTATTCTATTTGTGATGCTAAATGTTCTATTGCATAATCGGGTTCAAAGTACAGTCGACAATTTATAATTTCAATGCTGCAAAAAAATATCACAAACATAAATAAATATTTAGCTTTGGCATAAATAAACATTGATTTCGAATCACATTTGAATCTAAGGAATGCTGGAGGATGGGTGTAGGAACCCTGCCTCACTAAAGGTTTTGATTAAAACAGTTAAATCTCTAAATACTAAACGTTGAATACTGTGACAACTACACATGCATTACTCCTAGATCAAGTCATTCCACAGCGTTTACTCCAGAACAGTGTTCAGAATTTACTGGAGCTTAAAACGCAATTAAGCTCGGACTTCCGTAGCATAAATTCTCGATTCTGATTTAGTTGGAGTCGTGGACTTTTAGGATTCAGATGGGGCAATCTCCATCGGGGATACTTGGCTCCCATCTTCAGGTTTAGGCGAGACATCGGCCATCTCCTCCAGTTTAGGTACATTCTCACCCATTGCAGTCTCGTTCACCTGAAGTTTAGAAAGATTGAGATTATAGCAGAACTTAAACCAGAAAACTGTGGAATAAAGTTTAGATTTTAAATAGTCCAATAAACATAAAGCAAATCAATTGCACAGTGTACAATGTACATTGTACATAGCAAAATTCCACTCCATATGAGATTTTAAGCTACTAGTAAAAAAAGTTGATTTGTAACAACATTAAAAAGACTTAAAAATTGCTTTAAAGTCGTCATCTTCCTTTACCCCTGCACTATAAACTAGTTTAAACATTAAAAAAAATCCTTTTTTTCCTTGCTATATGATATGCTTCCAATCCCTTAAAGATAAAGAAAAATTTTGTTGTGATAAAAAAGGTAGTCAGCATGGACGAAATTATTTTATTATTTAATACTAGAGGAAATTATTTAAAGAAATATCAAAGAAGTTGCATTGGTGAATATGGTGAATATTTTTAAGAATTAAAAAAGTCGCGAAAAATAGCTTTACGTGGAATCTTTAGACGTGCTTTATCATTTTGAAATAAATGAACAGTCCCTTTAAAATTGCAATGTTATTACCTCGCCGACTCCTTCCTCCTGCATGAGAGCTCGAGCTATTTTAACCGCTTGGAACTCATTGTAATGCATCTTTCTCTTCTGTTCAAACTTTAACCTCTGCTCACGCTCCTAATATTGAAAACAATTAGACTAAATGAAATTGGTCATGGGTCAGCATAATGTCTTTTTGGATCCAAATTAGCAATATTTTGGCTTACTAGATCCGTATCCAAAATATCAACCAAAATCTTTAAAAAAGCTTCAGATCTAAAAAAGACAAATCTCAAGTTTTGACAAATGTAAGATTGTAAACAAACCCTTAATGCTCACTGGTCAGTCAAGTTGAAGCAAACAAATAGATACAAAAAAAAAATAATTTAGGAAATTTTCGTCATCAAAAGAAATTGGGAAATATTTTTGAACTGGGTCTGGAATCTGGATTAATATCATCTTTGACACAAAAAAAAGCTATTTTTGAGCGTTACAATCACAATAAACAAAACAAGAGAGTTTCTGGCCCAGAGGTCGCTTTTTTCGGTATTTTTCGTGATTATCTGCTTGCGTGTAATTTACCTCAATATTAAAAACTCAGGGGTGTATATTTTCTCGAAAAACCATTTTTTCCACGGCCCACCTCCCTTCTTCCCCCAGAAGTAATAAATTATATATCATTGCGCGGAGTAGTAACATTCTTTTTTGGGGTTTTATTCGGTAAATTGGGAAAAATAAACGAGTTTTTGGATTTTCAAAAAGTACCAAAAAAGAATGAAAAAGATAGTATTTTGATGTACAATTTGTTCTTTGACTTACTCACACTCCGTACTTAATAGGAGCTCAAAAAGTCACAATATCAACAAGAATTGTCAAGAAAAATGATCTTTTGCTCTCCCAAATCTGAACTGTTAAAAAAGATCCGTATCCGCATCAAAATCAACTGAATTCTAAGCACTGCATGAGCTAAATAAATGGAAACGTGTTCAGTTTTCTATAACAAATATTAATTCCTACCTCTGTACTCAGTAGAGCTAGATCCTCCTCATCCCCACTAGGCTCACTCACCCTGTAGTATTATTATGATGAGAATTTTTACAGATATTCATTGCTTCTCAAATTTTGTAACTTCTGGGGTGTACTGTATAAAGCCCCCCCCCCCCTCCAACCAGGGGTGCGAAGTCAAGGATTGTTAATTTATTATTAGTATTATTTACAAGTGCCGTCGTTAAAATTCGTTTTTTTGTAGCCTATGTTACTTCCAGGGTACCTACTCATGGGATCCCTAAAAAACATTTCAGCCAATTTGGTCCAGCCGTTTGGTCCAGCTATACCTAACATATAAATATAGAGCGAAGTACTTTCATCTATTTAGATTTACCTTCGCCTTCTGGGGTCCTTGTGTCCGTCTGCTGTAATCCTGGCGGCGAGAAGGTTTGCATCTAGCTCATCCTTCTCTCCTTCTCCATCACTATCATACTCTCCATACGGAGTCTTCGGTTCATCGATCTTCATGAATCCGTAATCCTAGAGAATTAAATTTTCCAGAGCTGCATGGATATTTTTATTCAAAGAATCCNCGAAAAAAATATTATCGTTCCGTAGGTTTGTAGGGGAAAAAGAAAATCTACTTGCGAGATCCTCTCCGCCTAGATAAGATTGTATCTGATGTACCCCCCACCGCTTCTTTCAGGGCTTCTACCTGTCTAGCCCTTTGATCTAGCGGAGACCTCATTACTGCCTCAAAAATAGATCTGAGAACTTTATCAGTTTTCTTATTCCATGATCATTGCCTACCAGAACTGCCTCCAGGCTTGGATCGTTTTCTGATACTTTATATAAGTCTCTGAGGGTCCCGTGGTAAGCATCACTTCTCGACAGCTAACTTCACATCCATCCCTTGGCAAAATCTGTTAACTGCTCTTAGCATACGCTCCATTCCTTATCGTTTGGTCCTGGAGATCAGTACTAAATCATCTGCAAACAACAAAGCTGAAAGTACTTCGCCATCAAAGTTGACACCTTCCTTCATAGTGTGTACTGTGTAGGACTTTACCCAGCCCCGATATGCATAGGGAAAACATAGGCATGCGATTGATATGGTACGACCTTTACTCTTAGTTTTGCGTATAGGTAACTACAGTATAAAAACACAATCTGAGGTTGACCAGCCTGATCTGATTCCATATAGGATTCTCCCATAATATTCTTTTGATTCACATATCTTGTCCATTCATCCATGTAACATCGTAACACCTTAGTGATGATTTTTAGCATCCCACACGAGACTGTGAGTGGGCGCATTTGATTGACGAGCAAAGAAGGGGCCTTTTTATCTATTAGTGTCATTTTGCCGACCAGAAGAGCCTCTGAGACTGTTCCATCTGTCAATACCTGGTGGACTAGGTCTATCATTCAAGCTACCTTAAATACCCAAATATCAATTAATTTTCTGAAATTCAGCGAGGAAGGAGTATGGAGCTAGACTTGGTACTTAGAATCCGGCTTCCTGGATTTAGATTCGCAAATTAAGCGGACCCACGGATCCAGATACAAGTGTCAAAATATCAATAGAAAACTGCAAAAAAAATCTTTAGGTCTGAACTCTTCAAAAAAGAGAGATTATCCAAACTTTCCTTATCTCTATAAGGTTCATTAAATTTTAGCAAAAAAATTAGCAAAAAAGAAGAAAAATAATTTTAAAATACTTCTTCTGACCTGTACCAAAAAAAATTCAGTAAATCTAAGCACCGGTGGGGTTCTGTAATTATTTTCTTATCAGATCAGATCGGATCGGAAAGGGAACCCTATGTGGAATACATAGTTACCTTGTCAGCAGGATGAAGAGTTGCCAGTATATTCATCTCATCAAAATGCGGTTCCTTCATACATCTAGGAACAAATAAAAATCTGAATAAAGAAATCCTAGCAGCTTGAGTGTCTGGCGTTGCCCAAGTTTACATTGTTATTTGCGCTTGGTATTAAATCGTGGTTTTAGCTGAATTTCCTAGCGTTGCCCATAGAATTTCAAAAAATATCAGAAAATATTTTAGCGAAGAGCTTTTTTTAAAGAAGAAAGAAGGATCCGAGTTTACTCACTTCCAACAAATTAACTAAGAAACGAATCAGCAACAATTTACGGATTAATTAACGGCTTAGAGGGACTGTCAGCATAATTCAAGTGACCCTCCATGCAAAGATGGCAATACCCGATTTACAACGGTACCCTTGAAACCTTAGTCTGATCTGAAATGTAAAAATATCGTGGTTTTCCTGACTAGATGATAAAAGTGTTATTTTCTGAGAGGTTATACATTGCTTCTTATACCTTATGCAAGAAATGTGCAAGTCACTTTCACAGAGAAACAGCAAATAAAAATTAACATTGATATCTACTTTATTCTTGATTCATAAAAGTTTCAAGAGTACCGTTGTAAATCGGGTATTGCCATTTCTCAATGGAGGGTCACTTGAAATTACGCTTACAGTCCGTTAAGGTAATAAAATGTCAATAAAACATATAAAATGACATCTTGCTCTCATTACATAAATCTATCTTAAATCAGCGTAAAATAATATCAAAACTAAAAAATTATCTGATGCATAAAATTAATAAAAAATTGTGAAATATTTACGAGCCGAATCCGTCCTCATTATATACGTATGAAGAATTCATGGTCTAAATAAGAATAGACTGAACTTCGATCAAAAATTATGGTAATTTCATAGAGAACAATTTTTAGGCCCAGGAATATTCAAATTTAGAGAAGTAAAAATTTTAATAGGAAGATTATTGCAATAAAATTTTAGAAACATGCAAGATATTGAAGTCGGATTTAAAAGAGAAATATTAGTAATGTCTTACTTTGGAGCAGACTCGTCGCCACCGTGCTCGAAACTTGTCGACTGTTTCAGGATTCCCCGCTTGGGGACTTTCTTAAGGTTTTCGGCCATTTTCCTTTAACTCATGCAACGCATAATCTGAAAAAAAGTTCCATCTCATAGTAAACAAATGACACTTCATTTTGAATATAACAAATACTTAACAATTAATATATATATCTGATCAAACAAATGATAACAATCTCAAGCGTAGTTCAAATTTTAACTCCAAGTTAAGTATTCTCCTTTCTAAATTCTAACGAAGATAGATAGATAGTTGAGTCTGCTGTCGAACAATGGAATCGTAAAACTATCGGAATTGTCGTCTTCCAAAACAAAAAATTGATTTTAAAAAATTAGACAGACAACGAAAATCAAAATCAATCAACATTATTATCATTAAACAACACATTTTATCTTTAAGCCTTGACTAAATGTAAAAATGACATTTATAAACGACTCTTGACATACAGGATACAAAATAAAAATGCAAGTTTTGGATACTAATAATTCAAACAAATTTAATACAGGGTGTCCCACATTATATCGTGTATAGCTCGAAGTTGCGATTTTAGGGACTAATCAGAAAATTTGAAAAATAAACAATGTATCATTTTTTTAAATGTAAAAGGTTTCTTTTGTAGTTTTCTAGCAGAAAATAGTAAGTTTTTCGAGTACGTATTTTGTGCGTATTTTGGCGCTAAAGATTGGAGATAATCCAATAATCCTCTTAATCAGACTCGGATTCACTGGATAACTGAAGGATCATCCGTTCAGTTGGTCTCTGCAATATAAAATGTCTATAATTAATAGGAACTCATTAAGGTATAAGGAAATAAAAGGATTAGTAAGGTCACAGTTATGGGCGAAAAAAGGATTATAAAGATTGAATTTTGTTCAACTAGCTGGAGTACCCGGCGTTGCCAATGTTATGAAAAAAAAAATTAAATCCCTTTTTAACCCCAGTATAACCCCCATGGGGTTCTTTAAAAAATTTCAGTCAATTAGGTCCCGCCGTTTCGCAAACTATAATAAACAAGTATATATTTATTTGCGAAGATTTATTATATGATTTACACATGCGCTGGATCGAGATCAAAAATTAAAACTTAATATACTATATGGGGTATTATTTTATAAAGATATATTCACTAGAAAAAAACTATACCCCCCCCCTCTCCCTTTAAATAAGGTACACTTTTTCTGAGCATTATTTTTAACTAGCTGGAATGCCCGACATTGGCTAGGTTAATATAATCATCGTCATAGTTACTCCCGAAGTTTACACGCGGGTGATAATAAATCATGATTTTAGCTGAAGTGCCGATTTTATGCAGTTAATTTAGACAAGCCGTAGTAAATAATCCAACCTGCTTGATTTTCTTCTTTCCCGAGCACTTCGTGGAGGATAAAATTTCTTCTAGGTTTTCAGATTCTGATAATTCGATCAAGCAACGTTTGGGTCGTTTCTACAATAACAGATTTTATATTTCTTTCAACTTGTTCCCCGGATCTGTATTAAAACGGCTCCAATTCATAAATACCAAAATAATAAGACTAGAACAGCTTTAAAATTCCCTCTAAATAATAACAAAAATTATAAATACATCTTTTTCTAAATGAGTCCAACAAAGGGTGGGCGCAAGCCTCGGCTCCCCCCCCCCCCCTCTTGACCAGAGATCAAACTTCCCAAAGTGAATGCGGAAAAAAGCTTAAAACTGCCTTTGCTGTTGTATTGAGGGTGGCCGGCTAAAGCGAACATGTAAATAGATAAATAGGGGGGGG